TACATCATGCCCTCCTTTAATATTATTGGCAATTTCAATGTTAATCACACAGAGTAATTTTAGAATTACTTAGAATTTAGTAATTTTAGAATGTATTTTTCCCCTCAGAAGTTACCCTACTGTTCATAGCTCTTCAGCTGCTGTTAAGAAAAACTTTGAATGGGATAGTTCCAGAAGCTCCATGAGGTAGAACTTAATTTCCTAAATGGCAGGGCTGAAACGATTTCAATGCTTGGGCAAGGAGAAAGTAAGTCAGATAATTCAGTTTGGCTGCTGTGCTAGAGGTCTTTCTCCCACTCATATAAAATTAGAAAATTCAGTTCGTTATCAAATATTTGATTATTACGTTACTGTAGATGCAGACATGTTAAGTATGTACCTTGTATTCATAACAGTTTAGTGTTCAGTTATGTGGCACAGAAGTAGTCCAAAGAAGGAAAGGGAGGGCTGCAGTCGCCCTGGGATGTCTTTAGGGAAGAGGTAGAATTTGTGCTGCCCTTGAGAGATGGTTAACATTTGGAAAAGCAGAGGAGGGAGAGGGAATGATGTGTTAGATGAAGAAAACCATGTGAGGAGACAAGATCCATAATAACCTGTTTGTGCTTACACAGAGCAGAATGGCCTTATTTGAACAAACCATGCATGTGGAAATAGTGGGAAATGAGATTAGATAGATGAGGTGGCATTAAATTATGCATGATTTTTAAAGGCCAGCAGAATGTTTCACCTTGATGTGGTAGGTAATTGAGAGTCAAGGCTTTTGATCAGATGAGTTAGAAAATGATAAGATGTCTAAGAGAGAGGGGTTGCCATTTGTATTCTGATGGATTTTAATAAGAGGAGAGGTTGGAGGAAGGGATAGAAAATATCCTAATTATAGAAAGTTGGGAATGGAGAGGAAGGAATTAATATTAAAAATTTCAGAGGAAAATTTGATAGAATTCGAATGCTCAGTACAGAGGAAGGGTAAATCAAGCATGGCCAGTTTTTCAGTTTTTGCTTTTTGTCCTGATATGTAGAAAGAATGTTCTTTTTTTGGTGAAAATCTCATAAATCTGTTAGTATATAATCTCCATGAATGTAAAAATAAGGAAGAACTAGTGCCTTGATCAGGTGTATCCCCAGCACCAGGAATAGTGCCTGATCTATAGAAGTCCTCAAGAAATATTTCTTGAAGGGGTGAAAGAATGCATTTAACATTCTTTAGATAAATTTTAGTTGCCCTTTGTAAAAAAATTTTTTTAAGTAGGCTCCACGCCCACTGTGGAGCCCCGTGTGGGGCTTGAACTCGCAACCCTGAGATCAAGACCTGAGCTCAGATCAAGAGTTGGATGCTTAACTGACTGAGCCACCCAGACACCCTGCCATCTAGAAATGTAGAACATGCCAGTTTTTAATACTAAATAGTGACTTTTAAAATAGTACTTGTTAACATTTTCTAATAGCAAAAATTGTTTATATTTGTTGTAGAAAATTGGGAAAAGATGCAGAAGTACAAAAGCACAAAGAAGGTTGCAATTATGTTTACTTCAGAGATGACTGCTGTTGGTGTATAGATCCTTCAGGGTTGTTTTTTTTTTTTTCCAGTGTGAATACATATTTATAAAATGAGGTCATATAGTAATCCTGATTTATACCTGCATAAATGTCATTTTTTCGGAGTAAAATGGAACAATTTGAGCCTCCAAATAATGACAGTAGTGGATCATAACACATAGAATAGTTTAGGAATCCATGAGACCGTGCTGATATGAATCAGAAGGGAGTTTTTGCTTAAAGCAGAATGCAAAGTAATGTAGAAGGACTGATAGAAACACCACCATGTAACCACCACTAAAGCAACACAAGACAAAATAAGCAACACAAGACATGAATGGCTGCTAAAACCAGTAGGTGAAAGTTTGATGAGAAACAGTATTCACATAGTCTCAACTTAGAGTTGACTATAGTGGCTTGTAGTCTCACAAGATACTTATCAATTACAAAGTGAATGATAATAACCTGCAGACACCACCTCCTCCAAGTGATGACAATTAACATCACCATGAGTGGGACAAATTGACATAGTCTCCCTTCTGCTGTGATGCACTTTGAGGGATACAGTATCATTTCTGGAACGTTCCTTCACAGAATGCAAAACCTGAAATTAATTATGAGATAACATCATACAAACCCAATTGAGAGAGAATCTACAAATTAAATGACTTGTATTTTTTTTTTTTTTTTTTTTTTTTAATGCTGAGGCCATGAAAGATAAAAAGAGGAACTCTTCCAGACTAAAGACTAAGGAAACATGATGACCAAATGCAACATTTGATCCTGGGGGAAGAAAAAGATTTTTCTCTTCTATAAGAGATGGTAATGGGACAAATGGTGAGATGTGAAATAAGGTCGACAGAGTAGATAATAGCACTGTTAGTGTTAATTTCCTGATCTTTACAGTACACTGTGGTTATGGAAGAGAATGATCTCATTTTTAGGAAATACATAGTTAAGGGGCTTAAGGGTAAAGGGGCATCTACAACTTACTCTTAAATGGTTTAAAAAGAGTAGGGGGAGGAAGAGGAAAGGAATGATAATATAATGTTAACATTTGAGGGATTTGGTTAAAGAATAGATATGACTCCTTTGTACTATTTTTGCAGTGTTTCTGAAAGTCGATACTTTCTCAAAATAAGTTAAAAAAAAAAGTGGAACCAGAGCTGCTGGATTAGTCACCAGTGAATCAGTGAATATTTTAATTAATTTATATAGTTTTTGTGTATATAGTGCTTGCTGACTTTAGGGGCTATCATTCCTTCTCTGTATTATTGTCTTAATATTTTTTAATTTTTTAAAAGATTTTATTTATTTGGGAGAGAGAAAAAGAGCGAGCAAGTGTGCAAGAGGGAGCAGGAGGCATAGGGAGAGGGAGAAGCAGGCTCGCTGCTGAGCAGGGAACCTGATGCGGGACTTGATCCCAGGACCCTGGGATCATGACCAGACCCAAAGGCTGACACCTAACAGACTGAGCCACCCAGGCACCCCATGTCTTAATATTTTTTTAAAGTATGTTGCAGGAGGGGCGCCTGGGTGGCTCAGTGGGTTAAAAGCCTCTGCCTTCGGCTCAGGTCATGATCCCAGGGTCCTGGGATGGAGCCCCACATCTCTGCTCAGCAGGGAGCCTGCTTCCTCCTCTCTCTCTGCCTGCTTCTCTGTGCTCTCTGTCTGTCAAATAAATTAAAAAATAAATAAATAAATAAATAAATAAAGTATGTTGCAGGAAAGAGAACACTGGCTTAGCCATCAGAAAGATGGGTTATTCTCTTAAGTCTGCTACTCATTTTTTTGTGAGCCCTTGAGAAATCGCTGTTTCTGGGTCCCAGGTTCTTCATCTGAACATTTTTTGCAGGGGCTGGATAAGCTGATATTGATAACTATATTCTAGTGGTTCTTTGAGATGGGCTCTGGATTCACTGACATGGTTGGAACTCAGAGAAGTGTTATCTTATAGTCAGCTACTTGAAAAAGGCCCAAGCCTTCAAACACGAGTAAACTGAAAAGATCCTCAGAAATCAGAGCTAGAAGATACCTGTCGCTCAGTCTACTCTGAGCCTCCCTTAGCAACACTTGTTTGCAGCACACCCTCTAGGTGGTTTTGACCCACACTCTTTTTTTTCCTTTTCAAGCCATTCATTATTTTTCTGGAGACTTGACTTGTGGTTTTCATCACTGTTTCTTTTAGTCATCATTTTAAAAAAGGAATGTGACTTTTCTTCACTTTAAAATTTTCCAGTTCTTTCATATTTAGGCGTTACCTTTGAAAACTAATTTGCCGTTATTGCAGAGATTAATAGGCAGGTGGATTGTTTTCCTCTAGAATCACAAAAGGATTTAGTTAATGCAGTTGAATGTATATGATCAGAAAGTGATGGGAATGGAAATGAAATTTCCAAATGAAAATGAAGATTTTTAAGTTTGTGCATTAAAAATCTTGCTAGAAGAAAAAAATTTTGCTAGGTTAGAAAATATAACAGGAAAGCTACTTTTGTTCTCACTAAGTTTTTCTATATGATAACCTAAAAAAAGAAAGAATGTTAGGATGTCCAAAGCAGACATACTTACCTTCTCTTGATGAGGATGTAAGTTAGCTTATTCTTTTTTAGAGGTGATTTAACATTAGTTATTAAAAATAAAGAAGATTATGCATGCTAACAAGTTCACTTCTAGGAATTTACCCTGTAGAAATATTCATTGCAGCATTGTTTATAAAGGCAAAAACTTGAACAGTGCTCATCGTTAGAAGACTGCATTAATAAATTAGGACATGTCTTATGATGGATTCTTATACAGCTGTCAAGAAATAATGTAAGAGATCTTTTATATTAATATAAAATGGATTTCCTGTTGCTATTTTTAAAAATTGTGATAAAATATTTAAGGAATATGGTTTGACGTTTTAACCATTTTTGAGAGTATGGTTAAGGGGCATTAAATACATTCACAGTGTTGTGTAATCATCAGCATTTTTTCTATCTAAAACTCTTTCATCATCCCCAATAAAACTCTGTGCTTATTACATAATAACTGTACCTTCACTCATCTCAGGAAATTTTTACATCTGGACTTGGAATGCTACCCAAGTACATAATTAAACGATAAGGGAAGATTGTAAAATAGTATGAATGCTGTGATTCTACTAGTAAACTGTGTGGTGAATTATTGTAATAACATAAGTAAGGAAAAAATCTGGGAGACTTCATATACTAAATTGGTAAAAAGGGATTTGGGGGAAGATTTTTGCTTTTATATATTTTGGTAAGTTTTGGGTTTTAAACAATGGGCATGTGTAACTTTTCTAAGCAGAAAAAAAGATAAACTTTAAGCATTGTACTAAAACTGGGTGAGTTGGATGCCTCTGATTTTAGCTAATGAATAACAGACTCTGCTGTGTTGTTGAATTTGAGCTTATGGAGAACCTAGACATTTTATTATTAAAATAATGATGTTTGTTTTCACAGCTAGAGTTGGGAAGACATCACTGATTATGTCTCTGGTCAGTGAAGAATTCCCAGAAGAGGTAAACATTTTTTTGTCTTTTCTACATTTGAAATCTTTTTAATTTATCAAAATTGAGTTGAAGTGAAATAAGTTCTGCACTTTTTTGGCAGGTGTTTCCTTTCTGACAGCTGTGACTTTAAAAGGGCTCATATTAGTTTACACAGGGCATCCCCGAAATGTAGTGAAGGAGCAAGAATCAAACCAGGTCCAGGTTCACTAAGTCCTTTCCTTTTCCTCTTTTGGATCTTGGCTAGGACATTTGTCATCTCTGTGCCTTAGTTGTCCCATCTGTAAATTGGGAGCTTGAAGGGCGATTACAGATCATCTAAGCTGTTAATCCTTTCCAAAAAATAAAATGTTATTCATAACCCCGAAATATAAAATAGGCAAGTATTCCTTTAGTTGAAATAAGGGTGAAACGTCTGGCTAGCTCCCCACCTGCCTTCCATCTGACACTCCCTGGCCTTTGAGGCATTAGAACCCCTAGGATTCCGACCACATATCTGAGAACCTTTCATGTTATCTATTACATCATTTTACAAATGAAGAAACTAATTCATAACACCACTGAAAGGATTGTTGTGTGTCTCAAAGGAGGTAAGGTTAATGATAGTAGAGTAAGGTGATTTTATGATTACTGCAATATATTTGTGTTCCAGAATGAGGGACTGTTGGCTTAGGCCTTACGTAAAGTTAGAATTTTGTTTTGGGGAATGGGATTGATGCAAATGGGATGAATACTACTTATTCTCTTCACGTAGTTGGTATTATTAGTCCCACAGTTTGCATTTCCTTTTTCTTTCCTCTTGTTTAGTTAGGAATATCTGTATAATTTCATTGTTTAGACAGGAATTTGGTATATTATATGGTAGTGTTTTCAACAATTACAAGTGCCACTATGACCATTCATTTTTTCTTTTGCTCCCCCCCCTTAAATGAGATACTGAAATAAGTACTTAATTTGTGGAATGAAGTGTATCATCATCATATGATCACTTGGAGTATAATACCTAAATGTTTTCTATGATCATTTAACTGAGTTTAGAATTGTCATTTTAGCATAGTCCTCTTGTAAGAGGTTTTTAATTGATTTTAAAAAATCATAGAGTCTAAAAAAAAAATCATACAGTCTTCCTAAAAAAATGGAGTCATTTAATAAGGCTTATGTAGCCAATCAGTTATCTTCTAGAAGAAATTAATTTTGATAATTTATTGTTTTATTTGAGAATTGCTTTGGATTAACATAGCTCCTCATTTGTAGAGTATCCTAAGCATCAAAAAAATGGAATGAAAATAGCATTTTTAAAATCAAATGTTTGAAACATTTAACTTAGGTTAAATGAAACATTTCATTTAACCTAATTGAAACAATTAACTTAGGTATTATTTTAGGCTGTATTAGAGCTGAAGTATATTTAATATGTGCTGTGCCCACACAAGTAGAAATGTGCATGCTTTTTTTTTTTTTTTAAGATTTTATTTATTTATTTGAGAGAAAGAGATCACAAGTAGGCAGAGAGGCAGGCAGGGGGCAGGGGGAGCAGGCTCCCGTTGAGCAGAGAGCCAGATGCAGGGCTTGATCCCAGGACCCCGAGATCATGACCTGAGCTGAAGACAGAGGCTCAACCCACTGAGCCACCCGGGCACCCTTAAACATGCATGTTTTTTTTAAAAGAAGTGTTTATCGGGGCACCTAGACAACTGGGTTGATCTCATGTCTTGATCTCAAGGTTGTAGGTTCAAGCACAAAAAATAAGCATATTAAAAGTATAATAAATCTTGGAAGGATAAGTATGGGTGGAAGGGGCTAATATATAGGTGAATTTACATGATCTGTTAACAAGTTTGATGGATAATAGCCGAAGGTTTTTTTTTTTTTTGCTGTGTTTGTTTGCAAATGAAGGTTCCTCCCCGGGCAGAAGAAATTACCATTCCAGCTGATGTCACCCCTGAGAGAGTTCCAACACACATCGTAGATTACTCAGGTAATGAATATCCTCTTGTGGGTGAAGCCACAGGGTTAATCGAATAGTCCTCAAAAAAGGGGTACATACTGAGCTTTAAAAAATGGGCCAGGATAGGCGTTCCTTTTTCTCTAGCAATAAACAATCATTTCCTAATCTTGTCTCATTTATATCTCCTTGCCAACCCCCACCCACACCCCACATAAAGCCTCTATCTTGTAGTTCTCTGTCCTAGATCTACTAAGCTGGGTTCCATAATAATGAAGAAGAAAGAGTGTTGGTAAATGATGAGTAGTAGATAAATCATTACCCTCCTTGACTTGGCATGTTTGCAGAGGTGAGTTCTGGATTAATTTTGTTATCAGGCATTCAGGAATGCTCTTATGATGTAGAAAGAGTTCTGAGTTTGAGAATTTGTTGAGTTCCAAATTTGTTCTTTAATTTATCAGAATTGTTGCCTCCCCAAAATAACAGTTAAAACAGTCGTCAGCTTGCTTACATTATATGATAATAGAAGCACATTTGTATTGCTTTTAATAATTTAAAATTTTTCTACCCACTAGTACTTACTTTTTTTTTCTTTCAAAGATTTTATTTATTTATTTGACAGAAGGGGGTGGGGAGAGTGGCAGGCAGAGGGAGAAGCAGGCTCACTGCTGAGCAGAGAGCCTGACGTGGGGCTCCATCTCAGGACTCTGTGATCATGACCTGAGCCGAAGGCATATGCTTAACGACTGAGCCACCCGAGTACCCCTAGGACTTACTTTTTAATCACAAAATTATTTTGCTCTGTTCTGGGACTTCTTTAAAAATAAATAAATAAATAAAAGGAGGGGTGCCTGGCTGGCTCAGTTGGTAGAGAGTGTGACTCTTGATCTTGGGTTTGTGAGTTCAATCCCCATGTTGGGAGTTGTAACAGTTGGACCACTCTGATGGGTTATGTTCATAAAGTGGGAAGCTATGTGGGGGCAGGAGATATAATGGGGAATCTCTGTACCTTCCACTCAGTTTTGCTGTCATTTAAAACTGCTCTAAAAAATAAAATCTGTTTGTAAGAATGGCATAATTACATTGGTAATACTTTGTTTTCCTAAGCTGGTATTCCACATACTTTAAAAGTGAAATGCCAGGATTTGCAGTCCAGTACATACGATTATCAAACTCTTAAAATTTGCCTAGTCTAGGCTGAAAAGTGCTGTAAGTATAAAATACAGGTGGAATTAGAGAGTTGGTATGAGGGGCGAGTGGGTGGCTGAGTGGGTTAAGCCTCTGCCTTCGGCTCAGGTCATGATCCCAGGATCCTGGGATTGAGCCCCGCATTGGGCTCTCTGCTTGGTGGGGATCCTGCTTCCTCCTCTTTCTCTGCCTGCCTCTGCCTACTTGTGATCTCTGTCTGTCAAATAAATAAAATCTTAAAAAAAAAAAAAAAGGCTTGGTGTGAAAAAAAGAATGTAAACCTTATCACAATTTTTTTTGTTGAGTTCGTGATCAACTTTTAATATTTTTGATACCTTGGATTAAATGAAAATGTACTTTTACCTGTTCTTTTTTACTTTTTGAACAGGAAAGGGGCATAGGGAGAGGGGGAGAGAACCTTAAGCAGGCTCCACGCCCAGTGCAGAACCTGTCATGGGGCTTGATCCTACGACCCTGAGACCGTGACCTGAGCCAAAATCAAGAATCAAACACTTGAGCCACCCATGCACCCCATCCTTTTGATTTTTTTAATGTGACTATGGCAGCATTAAAAATGACATACAATGGCTTGCTTGTCCAGCTGCTAGACAGCACTATACCAGAAGCTGAGGGGGTTGGATGCTTTCTGTGGCAGTCACCCTTATAACCTGCTTCATTTACAAAATTATTCTCTTACCACATTGGAGTTGAAGCCATTACCCATTGATTACTCAGCACACGAAAAGATATTTAAAATGTGGCCAGTTATTTAGCATAAATTAAAATATCATTATGCTCATGTATGGTATTAGTTTGTATGTCAGACATAACAGGCATTTTGGGGGGGAGAATATTTAACGTAAGGTAATCTAAATTAATGTCCGTCACTGTGTTTCTCTTCATTTGAATGCTTTTTAAAAAATTTATTTATTTGTTTATTTATTTGAGCGAGAGAGCAAAAGCCAGAGGGACAGGGAATCTCAAGCAGACTCCCCACTAAGTGCAGAGCCCAGTGCAGGGCTTGATTTCCTGACCCTGAGATCATGACCTGAGCTGAAACCAAGAGTCGGATGCTTCACTGACTGAGCCACCCAGGCGCCCCATTCATTTGTATGCGTTTTCATCATAGCTATCATCATGCATATCCCCTGCGCTCTGCGGTTATATGCACATCCACCATTTGAGACCCATTCCAGCCAGAGATACGTGCTAGAAAGGGAACTCTTGACTCATCACTATCATGCTTCGGTTTTGCTTCTGGGGCCTGCTTTCTTAAGATACAAGCTCTTAAGCTTGTATTGCCCAGATTCTCACCTGGCCTTCTGACCCTGTGTGTGTGGACTCTTTGTCTGGGCTTCTGACCGCAGCACCTAGTCTTCTAGCTTGGGTTTCTGATCTCTTTGGCCTGACCCGTCTCAGCTCTGGATCAGATGCTGGCCTAGATTTATCACACAATGCCTTCTGCTCTTCGTGCCTGAGTTATCCCCTGGTAGACTTGTCTTTCAGTGCCAGCCAGCTTCCTTATCATAGTCCAGCTCTTTCCTTTCCCTGACTTGCCCTTGTCTTTGGCACCTCACCTGGCTCTACACTACTACATAAATGTCATGAGGGATGAAGGATGTTGGATGCGTGCCATGTAGAATGTTAGCTTGGCCATTAGTTTTTATGAAAATGTTTAAAATAATGAACACTTTTTTTACTTTGTCATTTGTAGAAGCAGAACAGAGTGATGAACAGCTTCATCAAGAGATATCGCAGGTGAGTTTAAAAAAATAGCTGTAGGAGGTTTTTTGTGATAATTTTGTGAGTGTCTTGTTTATTCTCTCACTTAGGTCTTTTCAATTCTTTGTTATTAACTGCTGACTTTGATTGTCTATTTTTGCAGTAAGTTCTTAGGAACTCTTTCCTCTTGGAGGCATGTTATGTGTGGGTTTTTTTTTTAGGTTTCAAATTTTAGTCTTCCTTTGGCCCAAATACGTTAATTTAGATGCTACCAGTTACATTTGTGTTGTTTAAAAATACCATTAATTTCTTAATTTTTTCTTGTAGGCTAATGTGATCTGCATAGTTTATGCTGTTAACAACAAGCATTCTATCGATAAGGTATGAGCGTGTGACTTTCTTCAGTATATCTGGTTAAATTTCTATGGGTGCACTTTTAAAACTGATCTTCCATTTAGAATTTTCAGAGAAGATCCTCACTGTGGCTTAGCTTTGGTTGATTTTCTTTTTAGGTAACAAGTCGATGGATTCCTCTCATAAATGAAAGAACAGACAAAGACAGCAGGTATATTTTTTTCCTCTGAAACTTTGTATATTGAAAAATTTCAAACTTAGAGAAAAGTTGCAAGAAATAGTACAGAGAACACCTGTAAACCCTTCACTTACATCCACTAGTTAACATTTGCCACGTTTGCTTTACCTATAGGTCTTTCTCTGTTTCTGCACAGATGCTGGTTTTGGGAGGAATTATTTGAGGCAGCACATATATTTGTGAGCAAAGCAGAAAACCAAGTTCTGGTACTAGAATGATTTTTAACTTCTGACCTTAAATATTTTGATCATTGATCTTCCATTATTTCTTTTTCTTAAACCAGTGCTTAAGAAGTCTCCACTTTAGAATTCCTCTTTATCTGTATCATAATTGCCTTCTCTGTGGAGGTGCCCCTTGGGTGAGGAACGGTTTCCCCTTGTCACTGATTACTTACAGGGTGGTGTGTGTAAGGGCACGGGACTGGGAGGAGAGCGAGTGCCCTCTGAGATCTGGCTTAATCCACTTGACTTCATTGAGCCTTCCTTCCTCCTCTGTAGTGGAGACGAGGCTAATGCCAGTCTTGGCTGCATTTGGTAATTTTGAGAATCCAGTGAAATAATGCACTTGTACTGCTTTATAAGTTCTCTAAAGATTGCTAGAGATCTTTATTAGGAATGTATAGAGGTAAATTTCTTGGAAATTCTTTGGAAGATAATGTGTGGTGGGAAGAAGTAAGAGTACACACCTTCTGTATTTTTCATATGAACAAAATGATAGTTCTGGGTATAAGTATTTTCATTTTTAAATCAAATGGAAACCAAAAATTTTTCTTGCAGTATTATTTAATGGAACGTATTATTTATGAGGCATTCTTAAACATTAGGAAAATCAGACTAATATCTGTGTATTGTACACATCTGATCCTTTCTTTAATTTTTTAGATTTCTCTGTTGGCTGGACATTTTTGTGCCTTGAGACTGTAAAGATCTGGTTCTAACCAGATGAACTTTGTTGTTGACCCTGGCTCATGTATTTACAGAGGGAGACTTTGTGACTGTGTCTTGAGCTCTGATGGCTCCTCTTGGTCATAGTTTTAAACTTTGAAATGACTTCCTGACAAGGTGAAAAGGCGACAGTAACCCCGCAGAGCTATGCTGACCACTGTAGTAGACTCTAGTTAGTTGTGGCGATTTGACTGCAAATTAAGTAAAATTAAATAAAGCTAAAAATTCAGTTCCTTGGATACACATAGCCACATTTCAGGTACTTAGTAGCCACTTGTGGCTGATGGGTACAGTAGTGGACAGTCTGGATAAACATTATTTCCATCAACACGGAAGGGCCTATCAGCAAGGGCTGCCTTCGAGGGGTCCACATCTACATGGTCCTGACCCTTGGTCTTCTTGCTGCATGCTTGAGCTGTTTCCACGGGAGACTCTTCAGAGAAGGCAGTTTTTCTGGACTCTTTATCAAGCACCAGGTTGGACCCCTGATCTAAAAAAAATTAGTTTCACTATGACAGCTTCCTAAAATTCTGTGGCTAATTTTGTGGCCCTTTTGGTGTCCTCTGAAAGTAGCTTTTAACATTTGAAGATCAAATTGAGTTTTCTCAGATGTGGCTCCTCTTTTTTTTTTTCCCCCTCTCCAAATCATATGAGCATACTTCTTTTCTTTTTTTTCTTTCTTTTTTTTAAAAAGAGTTTATTTATTTATTTGACAGACAGATCACAAGTAGGCAGAGAGGCAGGCAGAGAGTGAGAGAGAAGCAGGCTCCCTGCTGAGCAGAGAGTCCCATGCGGGGCTTTATCCCAGGGCCCTGAGACCATGACCTGAGCTGAAGGCAGAGGCTTTAACCCACTGAGCCACCCAGGTGCCCCTGGAAATCAACTTTAGAAGCAGAACTGATAGGAACAAGTGGTAGTTTAGATATGGATCAAGCCCTGCATTAGTCAGGGTTAGCAGAGAGCCTATGTCTCCTTCTCTCTCTGCCTGCTGTTCTCCATGCTTGTGCTCACTCTCTCTGTCTCAAATAAATAAGATCTTTAAAAAAATATATATATATATACCTCAAATCTGAATACTTTCTCTCCATCTTTACTGTCCTAATCCACTACCACATTTTAAAAAGCTTTTTATTATTGAAAAAAATTCAGACACATACAAAAGTAGAGAAGATTGTCCAATGATTCACTCTGTATCTGTCACCGGCATCAACAGTTGTCAGTTCATGGCCAGTCTTGTTTCATTTCTTACTCCTCCCATTAGGATCGTTTTGAACAAATCATATTGTCAATATTTCAATCTGTATCTCCAAAAGGCAACATATGACTCGTTTTAAAATGTTGATCAGGGGCACCTGGGTGGCTCAGTGGGTTAAGTCTCTACCTTCAGCTCAGGTCATGATTTCAGGGTCCTGGGATCGAGTCCTGCATTGGGCTCTCTGCCCGGCAGGGGGCATGCTTCACCCTCTCTCTGCCTGCCTCTCTACCTACTTGTGATCTCTCTCTCTGTCAAATAAATAAAATCTTAAAAAAATAAAATAAAATGTTGATCAGATCATATTGTGTCCCTATTCCTAATTCTTCACTGGCTTCCTGTTTTACACTTAAAATAAAATGCACACTCCCTACTGCAGCTTATGTGTCTGGCCTTTGCTCCACTTTCCAGCCCCTTTACATACCTCTTTCCCTTTGCTTAGTACTCTCCACCCTCTATGATAGTTTTCTGTTCTTTGGACCCACCAGGGTGTGTTTTCAGTTTGAGCCCTTTGTGCACACTGTCCCTTCTTGCACAGCTCTTTCCTTCCTCTTCACAGGGCCCATTCCATCTCATCCTCTATTCCTTGGCTCAGATGCCACCTTGTCAGAGAGATTTTCTCCTGATTGCCATATAATTAGCCCCCTCCCATGACTATTCCATATCCCCCTATTTACTTACTTCATTGCACTTATGGAATTGGAAAGTGTATCATTTATTTGCTTATTGTCCATTTTCTGATTTTTCACTATTAGAATGGGCAGGGACCTTGTCTGTCTTGCTTCATGCTTAGAACAGTACCTGGCTTATAAGAAATACTCAGTAGGGGTGCCTGGTGGTTCAGTCAGAAGAGCACATGACTCTTAATCTCGGGGTCGTGAGTTCAAGCCCCAGGTCGGGTGTAGAGATTACTAAAGAAAATAAATTAACTTCCAAAATTTTTTTAAAAAGTACTTAGTAAATATTTGTTGAACATGAACATGCTGTCTAGGGGACTGGAACTGACTACAGTAGCAGGTTCATGTTGGGGGATTAAGTGAAGTTAATTAGAATGGTTATTATACACTTTAAAATAGATATTTTAGGTCTTCTGCTTTCCTTATTATTGCAATATATCCTGCTTTTTCAGGCTGCCTTTGATTTTGGTTGGGAACAAATCTGATCTGGTAGAATACAGTAGTATGGAGACCATCCTTCCCATTATGAACCAGTACACAGAAATTGAAACCTGTGTGGAGGTATGCCTTACCATTAGATTTAGAAATGTACTGCTGATGAATTCTCACTAAACTGTGGTTTAAAATAGGATGTGAGAAGGTGTGGGTTGGAATACATTTCCTGCTGTTTGTGAAGTCATGTAAACCAAATACAAAAGAGAATGCAGAATTGGCTTCTGAGTCATTTGTAGACATTAATACTGTGATTTCAACAAAGAAAAGTTTTTCTCTTTCTTCAAGCAATCTTGTTATTACTTTATATCGATAGTTTAAAAATTGTTTTTAGCTTCTGTCATTGCTTTCAGAATATAACATTTTAAACTTTTTTTTTCAGTGTTCAGCAAAAAACCTGAAGAACATATCAGAGCTCTTTTATTATGCGCAGAAAGCTGTTCTTCATCCTACAGGGCCCCTGTACTGCCCAGAGGAGAAAGAGGTAAACCCTTGCTCCCCAGGCTGTGGTAGTAGGGGCTGGAATATGTAGGTAGTAACTCTAGTAGTGATTTTTAGTAACTCTTGAGTATTCTTCTAAACTGCTGAAATTTAAATGTATTGTCTGTTAAACAATTAGGGGACTCCTGGGGGGCTCAGTTGGTTGGGCATCTGCCTTCGGCTTTGGTCATGATCACGGGGTGCTGGGATTGAGCCCTATATTGGGTTCCTTGCTTGGCAAGGAACCTTCCTTTTCCCTCTGCCTGCTCTGCATACTGTTCCCCCTGCGTGTGCTCTCTCTATTTCTGACAAATGAATGAATACAATCTTTAAAAAAAAAAAAAGTCCTTATCTTTAAAAAAAAAATCCAAAAACAATTTTTCTAGGTATTTCAAAGACATTCATGTTAAATACTGTGAATAGTATTCCAGGTCAAATAGTATTTCAGGAAATGCAGTTAAAACAAACAGCAGCGGGGGGCGCTTGGGTGGCTCAGTGGGTTAAAGCCTCTGCCTTCAGCTCAGGTCATGATCTCAGGGTCCTGGGATCAAGCCCCGAATCAGGCTCTCTGCTCAGCAGGGAGCCTGCTCCCCCTGACCCCCACCTGCCTCTCTGCTTACTTGTATCTCTCTCTCTCTCTCTGTCAAATAAATAAATAAATAGATAAATCTTTAAAAACAAATAGCAAAGTCTGAAGATTTACCTAATAGCCTACCTATTTTGCTAGTGTAAAGTTCACAGACTTAAAAACACACGAATGAAAACCTTGTGTAGGGGCTCCTGGGTTAAAGACTCTGCCTTCGGCTCAGGTCATGATCCCAGGGTCCTGGGATTAAGCCCTGCGTCAGGCTCTCTGCTTAGCAGGGAGCCTGCCTCTCTGCCTACTTGTGATCTCTCTCTGTCAAATGAATGAATAAAATCTTAAAAAAAAAAAAAAAAAAAAGAGAAAACCTTGTGTAATCAATTTACACGGGTACAGCATGTAACACAATTTGAATAATCCTTTTTGTTTCATAGCTAAAAAACAGTAATATCTAAAATTTAGCAATATTTGCTATAGACTTTTGTCTTTTTTTTTTAATATTTTATTTATTTATTTGACAGACAGAGATCACAACTAGGCAGAGAGGCAGGCAGATAGAGAGGAAGGGAAGCAGGCTCCCCACTGAGCGGAGAGCCCGATGCGGGGCTCAATTCCAGGACCCTGGGTTCATGACCTGAGCCGAAGGCAGAGGCTTCAACCCACTGAGCCCCCAGGCGCCCCATAGACTTTTGTCTTTTTAAGAGAACTTATGTATTTGTTTTTTAATTCCAGTATAATTAATGTACAGTGATATATTAGTTTCAAGTATACAATACAGTGATTCAGAAGTTCTTTATGTTACTCCGTACTCATCATAGTAAATGTACCCTTGGGGTGCCTGGGTGGCATCAGTTAAGCGTCTGCCTTTGGCTTGTGTGATGATCCCTGGGTCCTGGGATTGAGCCCTGCATCTGGCTCCCTGCTCAATGGGGATTCTGCTTCTCCCTGCCCCTCTGCCACTCCCCCTGCTTGTGCTCTCACATGCTCTCTTTATCTCTGTCATATAAATAAATAAAATATTTTAAAATGAATGGTTGAATGAATGAACCCTTAATCCCCTTCACCTATTTGCCATAGACTTTTTTTTTTAAGATTTATTTATTTATTTGAGAGAGAGAGCAAGAGACCATGCATGGGTGTGCACTCACTCCCGAGCTGGGGAGAGGGGCAGAGGGAGAGGAGAGAGAGAATCCTCAAGCAGACTCCACACTAAGCAGAGAGCCTGATGCGGGGCTCAATCCCAGGACCCTGACATCATGACCTAAGCCGAAACTAAGAGTCGGCCACTCAACTGACTGAGCCACCCAGGTGCCCCTGCAATAGACTTGTACAGATATACCACATTTTGTTTATCTGTTCATCTGTTGATTGACATGTGGGTTGCTTCCATTTTTTGATTATTGTGAATAGAGCTGCTATTAACATTCATACAGAAGTTTGAATACCTCTTTTGATTTCTTTTAGATGTCTATTGAGGAGTGAATTGCTAGGTCACATGCTAGTTCTCTTTAACTTATTTGGAATCCCCAAACTGAATGGCAGGTTCCAATTTCTCCATGTCTTTGCTATGTCAGTACCTGTTATTTTCCTATGTGTATGTGTGTGTGTGTCTGTGTACACACTTTATAACAGCCATCCTAGTGATGGTTGTTTTGATTTGCATTTTGCTGATAACTTAATGATGTTGAACATCATGTGCTTATTGACTATTGTATATGGAGAAATGTTTATTTCAGTTTTTGCCCATGTCTTAATTGAATTACCCTTTTAAAAAAAAAGATTTATTTATTTGACAGAGAGAGAGAGAGAGAGAGAGATGACAGGCAGAGAGGCAGGCAGAGATGGGGGGAGAAGCAGGCTCCCTGCTGAGCAGAGAGCCTAATGTGGGACTTGATCCCAGGACCCTGAGATCATGACCTGAGCTGAAGGCAGAGGCTTAACCCACTGAGCCACCCAGGCGCCCCTGAATTACCTTCTTATTGTTGAGTTTTTTAAAAAAAAAGTTGCACATTTTTTCCAGGGAAAGTTTATAGTATCGGTGAGTGGCTGCCAGGCTTTGGCTTATGGACCAAATTGGCCTGCCACCTGTTTTTGTACAGCCTGTGAGCTAAGAATTTATTTACTACACGTTTTTCACTGTTTGGGAAAAAAAATATGAAGAAATAATATTTTGTTATATGGGAAAATTCGATGACTTTCCAATTTCATCGTTCATGAATAACATTTTCCTGTGACACGGCCATACTTGTCCTTTTCTGTTTGTCTGTGACTGCTTTCGTGCTGCAGAGGCCCCAGTAGCTGCGGCAGAGCCCTCGTGTGGTGTGCTCCCCTCCCCCTGCTGTGTGCGCACCGCTGAGCGCGCCGACGCCGTTATGACTTAACGACGCCGTTATGACTTAACCGCATGAGTACCGTGGGCACCAGCACCTGAGCATCTTAGTGTTTTATCATCTGTGCATTACCTATGTGCCAGAACAAAAGAAATGGATGGCAAAGCAGACAGATTTTCCGAGCTCAAACTCCAGTTCTCGCATCGTTTTTTTTTGTTGTTGTTTTTTAAAGATTTTATTTATTCGACAGAGAGAGAGATAACAAGTAGGCAGAGAGGCAGGCAGAGAGAGGGGGAAGCAGGCTTCCCGCAGAGCAGAGAGCTCAATGCGGGGCTTGATCCCAGGGCCCTGAGACCATGACCTGAGCCGAAGGCAGAGGCTTTAACCCACTGAGCCACCCAGGCGCCCCTTGAATTGTTTTTGTTGGGGGAAACTTGATGCAAATGCAAAGGAGATTTCCATGTTTGTAACCCATTTGACTGTGCACTTGAGCTTCCACCCAACCTTCAGTCGGAACTGATTAGTCTGTAGTGTAATGACGTGCTAAGAGGAAAATATCAAGAAAAGAATCTAATTTTATAAGTGCCTTCAAAGCAGTTAATGTGCTCCATTAAAATGCTCTGTTTATGGATATGTGTCAGTATTGGCCATATGGATCTACAAAATGATTTTCAAAGATGAAATATGTGAAATCTCATTGCAGATCAGCATTAACAGATGAACATCTTCAGTCTTCATGATGGAGAACACTAACTGAACCCTAATTAAAACGTTATTCCTCCAAAAAGAATTCTGTTTTTCTTAGTAGTAGACCTGTATAGCAAATATATACTCCATTATTGTTACATTTTGAATTCTGTCAATAAAAACTTGATGGAAATTTGATTCTCTTTTGCTATATAAGATAGAAGTACCTACATGAGGGGTGCCTGGGTGGCTCAGTGGGTTGAGGCCTCTGCCTTTGGCTCGGGTCATGGCCCCGGGGTCCTGGCATGGAGCCCCAAGTCCAGCTCTCTGCTCAGCGGGGCGCCTGCTTCCCCTTCTCTCTCTCTGCCTGCCTCTCTGCCTACTAGTGACCTCTGTCAAATAAATAAATAAAACCTTTTTTAAAAAGTAATAAATAAATACCTACATGATATTCTTGATTTTGCCTATTGGCCCCCAAAGCCTAAAGTACTTGCTGTGCGGCTCTTCACAGAAAAAGTGCTGACCCCGGTATAAGTAATTAATCTGAGTTATCCTTTAATCTGACCCTGATTTACTTTTCCTTAATCCTGGTTTACTGTTCCATCATTGGAGTGCTTCCTAGTTTACTCTTAGTCCAGTATTTCCCTAATTTACCTCATAATAGTTACTAGGCACACTTGTTAAAAACACCAATTCCATTCTGATTCAGCCAGGTACATTATCTTATGCTCAAGGAAATTTGGGAAAGTCTCATACTATGCAGATTTACCTGAGGCCTTGGCCTAGGTAAATTAAATCCCCTCTATTGGTTTGTTCTCAGTGCTTTAATTGCTGCTTTTTTCCTAGGCCTATTATTAGTTCTCCTAATCTGCTTATCGTCCCTGCTCCTTCCCTAGACTGAGACTAAAACTTTTGCCACCATCTGTTACTTGTTTCTTAGGGGGACCTGCCTGAGGTAAAATGTGAAACTATTAGAGACTAAACCTTGTCTTAGACAAGTATAAACTTTGTGTCTAAGCTTATACCAGAACCATTTTTGTAGATGACAATAATAAACTCTTTTTTTTTTTTCTGTCCTAAGTAAACTCTATACCCAGCATGAGGCTGGAAGTCATGACCCTGAGATCAAGAGCTGCACCCTCCTCCAGCTGAGCCAGCCAGGTGCCCCAACAATAAACTTTTAGCACAGGGGGCAGGTGGGTGGCTCAGTAGGGTGAGCCTCCTGCTCTTGATTTCAGCTCTGGGTTATGAGATCTAGCCCTAGTCCAGCTCTGAGCTCAGCACAGAGCCTCCTTAAGATTCTCTCTCTCCCTCTACCCCTCACCCCAGGTCGTGGGCTCACACGTGTGTACATGCTCTCTCTCTCTCAAAAATAAATAAATGTAAACAGAAAAACCTTTTAACACAGATTTGAGGTAGAATCATTAAAAAAAAATACTAAATATTAAAGCCTGATGATTAATTCAAAATTAATTCCAGTGATGATGGACTCTGTATGGCCCATGGAGTCCTTGCTTACCTAATAATGAAAAAGATGTGACTTGTATGATAATGTTTATTGTGTGAGGGGTTCAGCTACTCAATGCAAAATGAATTTTTTGTTACTGTTAAATTTTTTACAGCCTTGTTGAGATATAATTCTTTTTTTTTTTTTTGAAGATTTTATTTATTTATTTGTCAGAGAGAGAGAGCACGCACAAGCAGATAGAGTGGCAGGAAGAGGCAGAGAGAGAAGCAGGCTTCCTGCTGAGCAAGGAGCCCGATGTGGGACTCGATCCTAGGATATTGGGATCATGACCCAAGCCGAAGGCAGCAGCTTAACCCACTGAGCCACCCAGCCACCCCGAGATAGAATTCTTAATACATTTTAAACATAGTCAGATTTTGGTGTTATATTTTAAAGTAGTTACTATTTAAATACCTTATTGAGCCAATAGCTTAGACCACTTTAGCTTCCTTTTTTTTATTTTAAGATTTTATTTACTTTTTTTTTTTACTTATTTTAAATTTTTATTTAAGATTTTATTTACTTGTCAGAGAAAGAGCACAAGCAGGGGGAGCGGCAGGCAGAAGGAGGAGCAGGCTTCCTGCTCAGCAAGGAGTGTAGTGAAAGACTGGATCCCAGGATGCTGGGATCATGACCTGAGCCGAAGGCAGGCACTTAAACGACTGAGCTACCCAGGCATCCTAGACCACTTTAGCTTCTGATGCATTTCAAACTTTAATGAAAATTGCATCATTTCATTTTTCTTCAAATTACCTTTTTTTAAAAAAAGATTTTATTTATTTATTTGACAGAGAGAGATCACAAGTAGGCAGAGAGGCAGGCAGAGAGAGTGGGGGAAGCAGGCTCCCTGCTGAGCAGAGAGCCCGATGCAGGGCTTGATCCCAGGACCCTGAGATGAGCTGATCTAAAGGCAGAGGCCTAACTCTCTGAGCCACCCAGGCGCCCCAGGATATCATCTTTATTAATTGTGAATATCTAATATTAGGATCACATTTATAGAAGTTATATCTTACCATTCTTTAAGTAAAAAATCACCCATAATTGTAGACTTTCTAGCTTATGGCTCATTTAATACTCTTTTTTCTTTTTTTAAGAAAAAAAAGAGATTTTATTTATATATTTGACAGAGAAAGAGAACAAGCAGGGGGACCAGGAGAGGGAGAAGCAGGCTCCCCATTGAGCAGAGAGCCCTATGCGGGGCTCAATCCCAGGACCCTGGGATCATGACCTGAGCCAAAAGCAGATGCTTAACAACTGAGCCACCCAGGCGCCCCTCAGAATTATTCTTTTTTTTTTTCTTTTTAATATTTTATTTATTTATTTGACACAGAGAGAGATCACAAGTAGGCAGAGAGGCAGGCAGAGAGAGAGGGGGAAGCAGGCTCCCCGCTGAGCAGAGAGCCTGATGCGGGGCTCGATCCCAGGACCCTGAGATCATGACCTGAGCTGAAGGCAGAGGCTTTAACCCACTGAGCCACCCAGGCGCCCCAGAATTATTCTTAACATTACTTATGAAAGTCATATTTTGAATTCCCAACTATCTTGATTAACATAATTGTTTCTTTTCTCAATGATGTATAGATGAAACCAGCCTGTATAAAAGCCCTCACCCGCATATTTAAGATATCTGATCAAGATAATGATGGCACTCTCAATGATGCCGAACTCAACTTCTTCCAGGTAGCCCTCTTCTTCAGGCTTTTCTATATCTTGGGGGGGTTTCTTGTTGAGAAAAGTTCTAACAATATTATTAGCTTAAACAATGTTATGTTGATAAGCATGTCTCTTTCATGTGAAACTGTCTTTCCCATCAAGCTAGCTAAGTCTTTACCTGGGGTATAAAACTCTCTTACGCACAGGAATTGAGGGGACTCTTGGACCGTGTGTCATTTCATGGGATACAGTGGATGCATTAAAGATGACTTGAAGTTTGAACTCCGAGTTATCTTTTCTTTCTTGGTTTTGTATAACATGGGTACACAAAGAGCTCTGTGTTTTAGAAATGCTATAGAGAGAGTAGGGAAGGTTTCTTTCCTTCTACATATGACATGTTTTAAATAAATAACGCAAAGCAGAGATGATCCTATTCTAATTTAGAATTTGGTTTGTTGTTGTTATTACAACAGATTTAATGTTGTTTTGTAGAATAATGTTTTATATTATGTGTGGTTTTAATGCTGTTTTGTTTTTAAATTTATTTTTACGTTTTTTACTAGAGAATTTGTTTCAATACTCCGTTAGCTCCCCAAGCTCTGGAAGATGTCAAGAATGTAGTCCGAAAACATATAAGTGATGGTGTGGCTGACAGTGGATTGACATTGAAAGGTGAGTGGATGGTATTTTCCCGCCTTTTAAACTTGATGTTTTCAAACTTTGGCATAAGGTGAAGGTCTTAGCATTATGTATACTTTAAGAGGAAATATAAGTATTTACTGATAGGCTTAAGATCTAACTTGGTTATTAAAGAGTTAGAAGAGATAAGCCATTGATGGAGATAATTATCCTTACTGTCAGCATAAATTAGAGGTGGGGAAATTGCTCAGATCTTAGGGAATGCAGAGGTCCATCTGAGGGGCTGAGATTTTTGGGACAAATTTATCTTAAAATTCTTACTATGTAAAAGCATCCTTTAAGTATAAATTATTTTCAAGGCAGACATTTTGTCTACCAGTCACATTTACCAAGTACAGAATGTTCCTTATAGAACATATTGTAGAGCCACAGTGAAATAAGAGATGAAATTGAAAACCACTGTTTTCCATTATAGAAATGAGTTCAAAAATCTTTAAAACAACTTCATTTATTTTTATCATGTAACTGGGAATGTCAGTGTATTCCTTGGGATGCATTTTTGGCCCTTTTATCCATTGCTCTTTCTTGCTGACTTGGGTGTATATGGGAAAGGATTCTGAAGTCAGCTCTGTTTCATTGACAGATTTATGAACTTTGTTTTGATTTGACCTTTGGTGTGCAAAGCTGTATGCCTATGTTCATGATTCTAGCTCTTGCCATTACATGTTACATGCTTTTCTCCCTTATGACTTTGTACCCTTATTCACATCTCCTGTACTTACTGATTTATTTTATTTCAGGTTTTCTTTTTTTACATACACTTTTTATCCAGAGAGGGAGACATGAAACTACTTGGACTGTGCTTCGACGATTTGGTTATGATGATGATCTGGATTTGACACCCGAGTATTTATTCCCCTTGTATGTACCTTTGGCTTTCTAATTGAGTTTGCCTGCCAAGTATTTTTAAAATTTTATTTAGCGCACAGCTTAGGTAGGCTTTGAGCTACTCAGATCTAATTTAGACTTATAGAGCGGTTTACAGCAGGATTTGTCAACCTTGGCACTATTGACGTTTTGGACCAGACAGTTCTTTGATGTAGAGTCTGCCCTGTGTCTTATAGGATGCTTAGCACATCCTTAGTTGCCAGTAACACCTCCTCCCCCAGCTCTGACAACTGAACATGTCCAGTGTCTCTAGAAGTTGCCAAATGTTCCTTCAGGAATGAAATCATCCCCAGTTGAGAGCCCCTGATTTATAGCATGGCATAAATTTTTCCTCCTCTTCTCATGGGGAATAAGAGTATCTTTTTTTACTCATCTTACTGAGGAAGGAGATGACAGATGCTGGACAGACTTGCATTTGGAGTCAAGACGTCAAGAGTATATTGGTTCACTTCTTTCCCTTAGTCCTTTTCCTCTGTAAGTCTTACAGCCTTTTCTTAGCTCTGGACGAAAGAAGTTAATATTTCCTAAATAGCCTGTTAAGGAGTTTTGTGGTTCTGTTTGTGGTTGTTTTTCTCTGAGAATGCTGTGTGTCAGTTGTGTTTGTTTAAAACAGAGCCGGTGTCATCTGAAACAGGAGACTGCTTTGCCATGTATTGCTTGTCCCGTACCCTAGGGAGGGAGGCTTTTCAGGAAAGTGACATCCCCTTATCTGGCCTTTTGGGTCTTCAGCCCTTCTTCTCTACTTTCCCTTGGCACATTATCTTCATATTGTCCCTTTTTCTTTTAGCATAGCACCCCTAGCTGTCTATGTAAGGGTTCAGAAAGACTCTTGTTTTTTTCATTTATCATCATCGTGGAGAAAGCAGTGTTCTTTCTGGTCCATGAATCAGGTCTAAGTTGAAACTTCTCTTGTTGGTTACTAAATCTTGGCTTAAGGAATTTCCCAAAGTTTTGAGCAAAAAGTGCATTGAATGAATGAATTTGTCCCAGGACCTTTGTCAGGTTTTCTTTTCTGTGCCATTAACATGGATAGGTAAATTCTACAGGAAGTTGCTTATTACTTTCTTAAGTAAGACAGTAAGAATACTCCAGTAAGAAAACTTGCTTAGGGCTTTGTGGCTCACACTAACAATTCTCGGTTTCTTTATGCTGTCTGCCTTTCGTTTTCCATAGAATAGCCTCGTAGAGCTACCACTTGAATCTCTCTAGCCTTCTTATTAAACTGTCTCCTTCTGTCCTTCATACTGCTACTAGATTAGTAGATATATAAATACAGATTTGCCCATGTCACTTCCCATAGAGCCAGGATAAAGCTCAGGCTTCTTAACATGTTACACAAGGTCATTCATGATCTGCTCTGCTCATGCTTCACTTCCTGCCTTCATTCTAAAAGTAAATACTACTACTAAACTGCTTACAGTCTACCAATCATCTGTTGTTTTGGACTCCAGGCTTTTGCCCAGGGATTCTCACTTTTTCCCTCTCTCTCTCCCAACCTAATTATTGCCTTTTATCCTTCAAGTCTGCAAGTCAGGTGATAGTGTCTGTGACACCTTCCCACCCCCATGCCAGAGATGTCCTTTTCCGTGTGGGCCCCCGTAGCGTCCTTGTTACCCATATCCACCACTTGCCTCATTCTGTTGCCGTAGTGAGATTGTCTGTGGTCCGTCTCCTACTTAAATGTGGTTCCCTAGGGGTAGGGAGCCTGTCTTGTTTTTGTGTACTAGGGACACTAGCTTTGTGCACTAGCTCAGTGCCTTTGATTGAACTGAACTTAGGATGGGTCAAAGGACAAATCAGGCAGAAATAACCTCTTTCCATCATTTTCAGCTCATTATAATGTTGACAGAAGCCATAGTTATGACTTACAGTTTGTTTACAAGAAGAGCAAACCCATTACAGGGTAATCGGTGTTACTTGTAAAATTTTTATTTCAACCTGCCCTTCAGAAATTTAAGAAAATTTCGTATGTCAGGTCAGAATGAGTGGTACTGCCGCTCTTGTGAGGATGGCCATTCTGCCCCATTGACTTTCCCTGGGAAGGTCTAAGTGGCTTCAGCAATGGTATTTTATAGATGCTGTCATCCCACTAAAAAAGACTTGTTGCAGTTTTATATTTGTTTCTTAAATTAATTTTAATACTTGGTTAATGATTTATTTTACTCTTAAACTTTCTTTTGTCAATAGGCTAAAAATACCTCCTGATTGCACTACTGAATTAAATCATCATGCATATTTGTTTCTGCAGAGCACCTTTGACAAGCACGATTTGGTAAGCTTTTAGCCACAGTTTGCCATGATTGTAATAATATTTTTTTGGTAAATGATTTGACTCTGTTCCTTAAGCGAGGGGATGCTCATGTCACATAGACAAAAATTGCTCAAACTTCTTAAGCTAGACTAGCAAAAGTTCTATTTATTTTATTATTTTCTCTTATTTTATTATTTTCTTCTAGCTTACCCCTGAGGACACTCCACTGAAAAAATCTAGTTTCTGATGGATTCTTATATAGGTTTTCTTAATATGTGAGAGGAATTTTCTTCAGAAAATGTAAAATTTCATTTGTTTTTAGAAGCGTAGCTTTACTAGGCTGGGGGCTCTGTGTGTGGGAATTATTCTCTTAGATATCTAAACATTTTGTATACTTCTTTGTGTATCCTCAGGATAGAGACTGTGCTTTGTCACCTGATGAGCTTAAAGATTTGTTTAAAGTTTTCCCTTACATACCGTGGGGGCCAGATGTGAATAACACAGTTTGTACAAATGAAAGAGGCTGGATAACTTACCAGGGATTTCTTTCCCAGTGGACGTGAGTACAGAGCTCACCTGTTTTCCTTTAGTTACAGCCAGTTTAAAATTACGACGTGTCACATTCATCATTCTGTAAGTTGGTTAGGTCTTACCGAATGCTTCAGTCATAACTGCCTGTGGGCAGGATTTATAGTGCTGCTGCTGTGTCTACGATGAACTTTAGATGTTCTGTCAATGTATCAGGAAGCTTGTGTTTGCTTTTGGATGATGTACAGGGAAACAGTAATAAGTCTCTCATCAAAACTGAACTAGATTTTAATGCTTTTTTGATTGAAGGAGTTGGAAACCTCATTGCTATTACACAGTTCTTACACTTCCAGAATATGGGGAGAGCATGTTTTACTTGATGCTGAACACTTGAGGGGTTTTTTTGGTGGTGGTTTGTTTTTACTGTTCTTCTTAATGGGGGTTCCTCTACGGTCTACTCACAGCGTAGTTGGCATTGTATCCAGGGCACTAAGGACATCCTCTGGTCGCCCATGATGATAATCACTACTTAAGCCTTGGTGAGACTAACTTTCCCAACACCAGGGACTGTTCCTTTTTCACGTCACAAGAAGGCTTAACTAATTTCAAGTGCCTTTCAGTTATTTTTACGCCTTTTGCAAACCTTTTCAGATTTAATTATCAGGTCTGCAAGCCTCCAGTATTTGCAGTACGCTGTGTCTCTTGGGAAGTGGCCAATATAAAATATCCTTACTGTAGATTTTACCAGCATCTCATTGCTCATCTCTGCATAGGTATAGGAATCCCATTCTACCCCTGCCGGTCTTGCATCCCCTCCCTCTCTTCTCTTCCTGAAAAATGGCGGTGTAGGGAAACCCATGGTTGGGCACATGGGAAATTAAAAGAAGTGTGACAGAAATTATCTGGGTCTGGTGGTAAGATTATGTGAGCTGTTGGGATTTTTTTTTTTTTTTTCCTATAAATGGTCTTTAGGAACTTTTTGCATGTCCACCTCCTCCCTTTCTTAGGCTCACGACCTACTTAGACGTCCAGCGATGCCTAGAGTATTTGGGCTATCTAGGCTATTCTATATTGACAGAGCAAGAGTCTCAGGCTTCCGCCATTACAGGTAAGTATCGGGATAGTATGCAGTTCATGCTAAGAAACATTTTTTAAATATTCCGGGTTCGTGTGTGAAAAGGGTGAAAATAAACTCCTCTTCATTAGTCTTCCATGATTGTCCTCTGTTCTCTCAGTCATTTGGTCATTTCTTTTGAGTTCAGAGGCTTGATTTTACTGTTAAGAAAGAAAGAGTATGGGCACCTGGGTGGCTCAGTTGGTTAAGTGTCTGTCTTCAGCTCAGGTCATGATCCCAGAGTCCTGGGATCGAACCCCAAGTCAGGCTCCCTGCTCAGCAGTGGGTCTGCTTCCTCTTCTGTCCCTCACCCCTCTCTTACTCTTTCTCTCTTATATAAATAAATAAAATATTTTTAAAAAAATACTTAAAAAAAAAAAAAAAAGGAAAGAGAAGAGGTTTTACTTCTAGCTTACCCCTGAGGACACTCCACTGATGAACATCAGGGAGGGCTATGGGCATTAAATGTATTTTAATGTGCCAGTTTATCTTGTCTTTTCATTTTCTTTAGACATTAAAAATAATACCTATTAACACATAATCCCAATACTGAACTAATTGTGTATCTCTTGGTTTTGTAACCATTTTCTACATTAGGAAATCTTTCCCAGACTTTATAATTCTTGCTAGGCAGTGTGCTCCGCTTAAAGAATACCCATAGGTATGGAAATAACAAATTAGGGGATGGATTGTTTCAAGATTTTCTTATATCCCAGTTGGTAGGGGGAAATGCCATATCTTACAGGAGGTCCTAGCATAAGAAGACAATCATTTTGTTTCTTTTTAAGATTTTGTTTATTTAAGAGAGAGCAAGAAAGAGAGCGAGAGAGAGAGTATGAGCAGGGGGGCAGGCAGAGGGAGAGGGAGAAGCAGACTCCTCACTGAGCAGGGAGCCCGAAGCAGGGGTCAGTCCCAGGACCCCGGGACCATGACCTGAGCTGAAGGCAGATGCTTAACCCACTGAGTCACCCAGGCACCCCAAAGACAATCACCGACAGAGCAAGTATCCTTGAAAGTAGTTAACCCATTAGACAGTATTTAATTCAGCACCAAAGAGCAAGAAACGAATTCCTAGCTAGCAGGAGGTTCTTTCACTCTCACAAAATATTGTGGCCATCTTGCTCTGTCAATAAGTATAGTTTTATGTATCTTTTTTTTTTTTTAAGATTTTATTTATTTATTTGACAGACAGAGATCACAAGTAGGCAGAGAGGCAGGCAGAGAGAGAGAGGAGGAAGCAGGCTCCCCGCTGAGCAGAAAGCCTGATGCGGGACTCGATCCCAGGACCCTGGGATCATGACCTGAGTCGAAGGCAGAGGCTTTAACCCACTGAGCCACCCAGGCGCCCTAGTTTTATGTATCTTTAATGTTCAGTAGTGTGTCATCATAAGGATGTTATGTAACTTATTTAACTGTCCCATGATTGTTGTATGTTTTTTTATCATTTTCAGCTTTTGGCTACCATAAATAGTGCCTCTGGTGAGTTTTGTTATAGTTGAATTTTGGGGTACAGCTTAAGGAGGTCTCTTTACCTCTGGAAGAGAGGTGCCCTTGCTCTGCTGTTGGAGCATTGGTTTCTGTTCTGCCTCTTTTACAGATTTACATTTGAAAGCCAGTGAACCCCAGAGTGCATATCCCTTACCCATTTACAAATTCAAGAGTGTGCAGATTAGAGATAGCATCTTTTAATTTGTAATTTATTGTGACATTTATTACAGAAGAAAGTAGATGGGACATAACGTTGGCTATGTTCACTGTAATTTTCATTCATTTTTAGGGTATAATTTTGCTTATGAAAGTGTGCTACTTATTTCGTGATGAATAAATGTCATTTGGTTACCAGAAGTTGTCTTTACAGCCAGCTTTCCGAAATACATCTTTTCTACCAAGTGAAGCCCTCCCGTATATGTAGTGCTTGATCTCACATACAGCATGGCTCTTGCACAGGGTGTCTGTTTATTCATCATACCCTTCATAAAAATGAGAAATCCCGTATACTGTTTCGCAGGAAGTGAAATGGAGGTGCAGCGAGTCTCAATGGTACATGATTATTTTTTCTTTCTTCTTAGTAACAAGAGATAAAAAGATAGACCTTCAGAAAAAACAGACTCAAAGAAATGTGTTCAGATGTAATGTAATTGGGATGAAAAACTGTGGGAAGAGTGGCGTTCTTCAGGCTCTTCTTGGAAGAAACTTAATGGTGAGAATTCTCAGATAATAGAGCTTTATCCAACAGATTTGTATAGTCACGAGTTGACATGAGTTTTTCATAGCCACTAAGTCTCGTAGATGATGGCTGGAGCTCAGCGGCCTGTGTACATTAGTGAAGGGCAATCTGAGGGTAACAACGATCCTGTTGAACTGCCTTTGTCTTCGTTTCGTTGGTGTGAGCTGTCATTTGCCTTTTTTCCTCGGCAGTATTTAGGCGGGTGTTGAGTGAATACATATGTGGAAGCACCTGCCATGGCGCTTGGCATGAAGCGAAGTACAGTAAATATTTCCGATTGAGTCCTGTATCTATTTCTGGATGTGTCTCCAGATGGGTCTCATGTCAGACCAAATCATAGTGTAAGGAGAATTGCTAGCAGGTAGCTCTGTACTACATGTTCAGTAATGTAGTTTCCTTCCTTTTCAGCTGCTCCTTTACTTTATGCAGAACAAATGCATCTTTTGTCTTAGACCTCAAGAACTAAGAAACAAAATCAATGTCCCCTTTGTACTGATAAATAATACATAGTGTAGGGAAGAATGCCCTTTTATTTATAACACACCCATACATACATGCAGAGTGGGTGTTGATGAAGACTCGGTACTGTAATTTCTTACTGTCAATATTGAGACTTTTGGTTGTTTTCAGAGGCAGAAGAAGATTCGCGATGATCATAAATCCTACTATGCGATCAACACTGTTTATGTGTATGGACAAGAGAAATACTTGTTGGTAAGAAATTCTCTGGCATATAAAGATTACTAATTGTTAGGTATATTTTTATATGACTCTTTGAAAACATAATTGCATTTAATATAATGGCTATATGTAGAACTTACGTGATTTTATTTTCTTTCACCTGGTTTATTCACTGGAATTAATTTTAATTCCCCTGATGGGTGTGGTGATCACATGGGCGTAGATATAAGTGAAAGTTAATCTATTCGTTTGCTTAATTATGTATTATACACAATAGAAAGTAAAAACAACAAAAAAAACCCTTCTCTTTCCTCTTTCTTCCACTTTTCTTTAAAAAAGATCTTTTTTTCCTCTACTGTTGACTGGAAATTAATATGAAAACATCACTGCAGGTGCCTGGTAGTTTGTCTATACTCTGAATCGAGTTTCATCTATTTAGCAGAGAGGAGTATAGTTAACAAATGTGTTAGTCTAAAAGCATGGATGAAAGAAGTGTATGACTGAAAAGACTTTGAAATACAGTAGAAAGAGATTATGTGTTCTTCTTGGATCCAGTCGCAGTTTGATTCGAACCCTGATTAGCTGTGTGACCTCAGGCAAGTGGCTTCTTCTCTCTGAGCCTGACTTTCTTAATAAGCTAGCTAATCTGAGGAGCTCCTAACAAATAATAGCTACCAGAAAAAGCTCATTTCCTTCCTTTTTCTTTTTGGAAATAGTTTGTTCTGCTAGACAGATGAACACATTGAATTTCATACAATTTTCCCTCTTTATGATAAACGTTTTTTTGTCAGTTTCTAATTTAACCTTGTTTATCTCCCATTCTTCTCCTGTTAAGTATAGTTCTACTTAACTGCGTACTCAGTAAATATAGCTGACTGTGAATATTCCTGTTTTTATTCTTATACTCTCTGTAAATTGGTATCTGTCATGCCTCTGACTATCCGTGCTGTGTTTTATTTGGAAAATATCAAGTCACTTCTGACCTTGTACTTCCTTCTTCTTGACATAGGTGCACTGCCTTAAATAACTCAGTAGTACTGAATTTTACTCTTGCTGGATCATTGTCATAGGGGTGACATTTCTCTAGACGTTTTATAATAAACATTAAAAAAGAGTAGGCAGGGTTGCTGGGGGGAGGGGGGTTGGGGGGGGTGGGATTATTATGGACATTGGGGAGGGTATGTGCTATGGTGAGTGCTGTGAAGTGTGTAAACCTGGCGATTCACAGACCTGTACCCCTGGGGAAAAAAATATATGTTTATAAAAAATAAAATTAAAAAAAATAATAATAAATAAACACAACAACATTAAAAAAAAAAAAGTAGGCAGGAAAAAAAAAAGAGTAAGCAGTGGAGTAGAACAAAATGACCTTAGTGTAAAGAGTCTTTTTCTTTGTTTCCTTTTTGTTGTCGTTTTTGTTTTTTTTAAATTGGTAAGGAGAAAAGGTGGTCTGGTAGAAAGAAAATAGACTTGAAATCATATTTGAGTTCAAATTTTGGTCTGATGACTTGCTAGATGTGTTATCTTAGGCAGTTGACTTAATCTGTTTAGCCTGTTATCTTACCTGTGTAGAAAATGTGCGTAAACGGCCTGCCTAGAGCAGGTCAGTCGCTAAAATGTTTGCTCCTGGAAAACCTTAATCACCGTCAGTCCACAAAATCAGAAGCTACTTGTTGATCTACACTTCCCATCTCTAAAAATAGCCTGAGAAGTTATGCTTAACTTCTTTTAGAAGTACTTTATTTGGAAGTCAAGCAATAATAACACATCGTGACTTTAATGAAACATCAATATTACAATATTAATGTTTCTTATTATCTTTTTCTTTTTACAAGTTACATGATATCTCCGAATCAGAATTCCTAACTGAGGCTGAGATTATTTGTGATGTTGTGTGCCTGGTATATGACGTCAGTAACCCCAAATCCTTTGAATACTGTGCTAGGATTTTTAAGGTTTGTTGTTCTTTTGGTCTGTAACTGTTGGTTTGGGCTGTAACTTTATATGGAGTTAATGGAATTATATAATGTGATGTTTTCTAACTAGGGAGATGTAAGAAAATCACTTGCAGAGCTTTTGAAAAATACATTTGTCTCCCATCGTTAAAGGTTTTGATTTCGTTCTGAGGTGGTGGAGTCTAAGACTTCTGTATTTTAAAAACATTTTTTTCCCAAAAATAAATAGATACATACATACATACAAATAACAATTTTTTTCCACATGTGACTCTGATGTGCATCCATAGTTAAGAACCTCTGTATTACTGGAAGGTCTTCTTGGCCATTAGGAATCCACATGGAGAGGTGCCACACTGGCTCAGTCAGTGGAGCACATGACTCTTCATCTTGGGGTTGTGAGTTTGAGCCCCATGCTGGGTATAGAAATTACTTAAAAATAATATCTTTTAGGGGTGGCTGGGTGGCTCAGTCATTAAGTGTCTGCCTCTGGCTCGGGTCGTGATCCCAGGGTCCTTGGATCGAACCCCGCATTGGGCTCCCTGCTCAGTGGAGAGCCTGGTTCTCCTTCTCCCGCTGCCTGCTGCTCTGCCTACTTGTGCTCTATCTCTTGCTCTGTCAAATAAATAAATAAAATCTTAAAAAATAATAATAATATCTTTTTTAAAAAAGTAGTGTACATGGATTATATATTGCCAGTTACACCAATAATAATAATAATAGAACAAGGGGGAAAACCAGAGGCTTGAAAAGTCCTCAGATTGAGATTTTCACCAAGATGCTATACGAGTTAAAAACTGTATGTACCAAGGAGTTTATTCTAGCATTGTTTTTTTTTTTTTTTAAGATTTTTTATTTATTTGTTTGACAGACAAAGATCACAAGTAGGCAGAGAGGCAGAGAGAGAGAGAGGAGGAAGCAAGCTCCCTGCAGAGCAGAGAGCCCGATGTGGGGCTCGATCCCAGGACTCTGAGATCATGACCTGAGCCGAAGGCAGAGGCTTTAACCCACTGAGCCACTCAGGTGCCCCTAGCATTGTTTTTAATTAAAAGAAAAAACTAGAAATAATCCAGATGCCTAACAATAGGAGGATGCTTTACTAAATTAAGACAGAATGATACGGTGGAATGTTAAGTGGCTATTAAAAGTAATGGTTTTTGAATTCTGAAAACATGGAAGGTTCAGTGTTAATATTTTTATTTTATTTATTATTTATTTGTAAGATTTTATTTATTTATTTGACAGAGAGACAAAGCAAGAGAAGGAACACAAATGGGGAGTGAGAGAGGGAGAAGCAGGCTACCCACTGAGCGGGGAGCCTAATGTGGGGCTCAATCCCAGGACCCTGGGATCATGACCTGAGCTGAAGACAGACTCTTAATGACTGAGCCACCCAGGCCCCCCTCAGTATTATATTTTAAAATGACTATGTCTGTCATGACTGCAGCTATAGAAATGTTTATAGAGGGGCGCCTGGGTGGCCCAGTGTGTTAAGCCTCTGCCTTCGGCTCAGGTCATGACCTCAGGGTCCTGGGATCGAGCCCCACATTGGGCTCCCTGCTCAGTGGGTAGCCTGCTTCTCCCTCTCTCACTCCCCATTTGTGTTCCTTCTCTTGCTTTGTCTCTCTCTCTGTCAAATAAATAAATAAAATCTTTAAAAAAAAAAGATGTATATAGATGCATGTGCTTAAGGATTAATGATATGAAAAATGAAAGTAGTGAAAAAAAATAATAAAATCGTGAAGCAGAAATTTTTAAAATGAAAATAATGTGCTCTAGGCTAGAGGAATTTAGGTGGATTTCTCTTTGTTTCAAAATATGGTATCTTTTTTATAAAAAATATCAATTTTTTTCAGATTGTAATGAATCTGAAGAGTCGTTACAGATTTGTACAGTTACCAGCATTAGAAAATTGGCCCTGGTCTTATGAGACTGCCTGGTCCACTGCTAGTTGCTGCCCTTTAGTTTACTTTCTCCCTGAAGCTATGCTTTGCCTAGCCAGAGATCATTTTTAGTACACATTTAATTAAATGTAGTAATTTTTTAACTTGTCATCAGATTGTGATTTTAGTTTTTATCCCATAGCAACACTTCATGGACAGCAGAATACCTTGCTTAATCATAGCTGCAAAGTCGGACCTGCATGAAGTTAAACAAGACTATAGTATTTCACCTGCTGATTTCTGCAGGAAACATAAAATGCCTCCACCACAAGCCTTCACTTGCAATACTGCTGATGCACCCAGTAAAGATATCTTTGTTAAACTGACAACGATGGCCATGTACCCGTAAGTACTTGCTCTGCTATCATTTTCATGCTGCATGGTTCATAATAACATCGCATGCTATGATTAGTCATGAGGGAGGGACCTTTGTCACATAGAAGTTGTTCAGCAACAGAAAGAGACTTTGTAATGAGAAGGAACAAATTTTGGGTAAACGTGAGTCTGGTTTGGGTGCCATACTAAAATCACACAAACAGTGCTCCTGACAGGATTTGTATATTTTTAAGCAGTAACTATTTAAACGGTAACTATTTTAATAGGATAGTACAATGAAACACAACCCGCGACCCAGCTTTTAAAAAAAAGTTTTACTGCAGTCAAAGGGTGTTGACATCATGTTGCTTTATGTTTTTAAGACATTTCCGTATGAACAGAAAGTTCATTTTAATATTTTTCTGTTGATTCATTGACCTTGAGTATATGGAGGATTCTAAAATATTTTAGGAAATTATGTTTAAATTATAGATATGTTTGAGAATATAACGTCTTTTTTAAGTGCTATAAAAAGTAGTTGTAATTGGAATTCCTGCTATATAAATGTCTCACATTAAGTGTTATGAACCATGAATTTTATGTACATTTATTGTATATCTATACATATGCATAAGCACATAACTGTGGACATTTTCATAGCTTACTAACTGCCTTAGAATTGCATGGTTCTTAATGGCATTCTCCTCAAGTACTGTGTGTGTATAATTCTGTTTTGTAACAAGATAGTTTTTCAGGCAGTGCGTTTCTCAAGACTTTAGCTTAATCTATTTGTTATTAATTTAATCTCTAAATTATTTTTCCTCTTACGAAAATTGTGGTATAAAATAGAGTAATGATCAAACGTGGCTACGAACTGAAGTCTTTCAGAAAGGTGTTAATTTCTGCAGATTCTTCAAATCAGAGTTAACTTCACTGCTATTCTGTTAACTAATACTTTTTGAAAAAAAAGGCAGCAAGCCCTTGAAATTGTATTGGAAGACAAGTCATTCCTGTTACTATAAGATAAACAGAACTTAATTTATGTTTTACCTTTGCTTTAAAACTCTCGTGTATGTTATCTACAGAGAGGATCATTACAGAAACAGACTCTCCCGAGACATGGGCAACACTGATAGAATAGAGAATTTGAGAAAAATCTGGGTCTTTCTAAAAACTGCTTTGTAAGTTACTTTTTCTTTATGGCTTCTGTGGGATTTTTGTTGACATTTTCTTGTAGATGACCAGATCTCCTTTCCTGCCGTAATTAACATTTAGTAATTATATAGAAACGCACTGCTTGGTCAGTCTTACTGCCTAACTGTATATGACAGTAGTGTTTTTTTCTTTTTCTTTTCTTTTTTTTTTTTGTTTACTATGTAAATGCACTGTTTTAATCTTGTAGATAACTGTAACTGTGTTTTCAGATCTGCATCTTTAAAACGTTTTGCTGCGATTCGTGTGTGTTTGTATGTATGTGTGTGTATATATGATAAATGTACATACAGGGACACTTGCTTATATGGTTAATCCCAAACTACTTCTCATGAAGCATCTCCCTGTTGCTAAGCATACTTTGCATCTCCTTTTTGGTGGGTGGAGCCTGTGTATGTTGAAGAGTCAGACTGAATTGATAAAATAACAGATGGATTCCAGTATGACAGCTGGCAGTGACTTAGTAGCGTTGATACGTTCCTCATCACAAGTCAGGTTTTAAAAAAGGAATGTCTCGAGTCTATGAGAGCTTAAAAATTAATTCTCATTTTTCTTCATGTTGGGAATTAGGCATTATTGGGATGCTGCTAATCTCCACCACCATGCCACCGTGCGATGTGGTCTCATCAGATCTCACAAGCTAAGCCAAGTCAGAGTGGGCCAGTCCTTTGACTGAGAAGCCTTTAAAAAAAAAATGGGCAGGTGTTACAGGAAGTGCTGGCATTGATTCATCAGGCGGCGCTCTTCTGAGTGGGTTCGGGGCCAGTGCCTCTTCAGGGTGCCGTGACGGCTTTGTATATCTGAGTGGCTTTGACCACTGGGCAGTCCCTGGGGACCCCCTACTCTTGGTTGTTAGGACGGAGGTGAAATAGATTGCCCCATGTGCCTGTACCGACTAGTACAACTCCACTCAACCAGAAAGGAGTCAGAAAGCCTCCCTAAATTTCATATCTGATGCCAATTGGACCCATTGTTGATTTTTACATCCTCACCCAGAGTTTCATACTTTCATACTTAGCTGCTGTGTTTTCGTAGCAGATGAAATCAACCCTCTGTTTTGTTCATGTGGAAATTTATGAAGCACTTTGATTTCCTTCGGGAGCCAGGGTGCTTGATGAATTGAAGACCATCTCCTCAGGGTTGAATATATTCGTCTTTTGACCCTTTTGTGTATTTGTCACTCTTCTCCTTCCTGGTTTTTCAGGCATGTGTGTATGCTGAGGGAGGAGGAGGGAATGGTTCCTTAAATGCTAGCACACTTTGTCCTTTTGGTGGGTGCTATGGCTTACTCAGTTTTTCTTTTTATTAATTTACACGAGGGTGCCATCTATCGCTGTGCATATTATTCCACTAAAACTCTTGTGATGATAATTCCATCCCCCCTCCAAAAAAGCCAAGAGTATTAGCTAATTTTCCTTAGGTTTTCTCTAGGGAGGGAGGAGGGAGCTATTGCTATGTACTGTATTTTTGGTAAATGTGGAATTCTGCACAACTTTAGCATGCCCCACACTGTCCTTTTCCTTACTGTTGCTTATGCCTAAATCTTTTTTTTTTTAAGTTGGCACACCCTGACTTGTGCCGTATTTGTAAGTAAGAACTCAACTCCTGTCCTTCTGTGTGTTTTCGCAGCCATGCCCGGTTACGCTGTATGTGCACCTGCAACAGGTGTACATTTTGCATCTGTCAGAACTTCCTCAACTCAGACTTGCTGCAATCTGTAAAGAACAAAATCTTCACTGCAGTTCTTAACAGGTTCTTAACTTTATTTACTGGGTACCAGGCATTCTGTTAAAATACAAAAGAAAAAAAAAAGTGGATAACTCTTCATTATACAGATACTCACTACAAAGACCACAAACCAACCGATGCCCAACTAATTTCCACTAAAATTCTCACCATGGTGATGATGTTTTCAGGGGACTATAAAATAAGATTTTGGATTTCTTTCTTCATGAAGTTTAAAGTATCGTTCATATGACAGGATAATATGTATAGGGAGATTAAAATCTTTTGGCTGAGAGTTGTAGAAATAGGTGAGGACTTTCATAGTAACAAAAAGACACATTGATCCCAAATGTGAAACTGTACTCGCTTACATTCAACTAATATAACTTCATTAAAACGACACTAATGCGAACGGTATCTTGGGTTTGAAAATTTTCTGTATTATAAGTACCTGGAATGTTTATGTGAAAGAGCATGGCTTCTGGAAATGAGGATAATCGCTAACTTTGAGAATTCAAAGGATTATGAGAAAGAACAAAAGATCTGTAGTACTCATTTTTGAGGTCTTTATAATTGAGCCCGAAACATATAGTATGCCTAGAAAGTGACACACTTTTTAGAAAGGGAAGGGAAACAAACAAATAAGATAATTTACATTCCCTCAAAGCAAAGAACTTGGAAGGTTATATTCTTATTCTGGTCATGCTTCCATTGTTCAGATTTACATTTTGTGAGCATTTAAGAGACTATGGACTATAAATTTGCATCTGCTGTAAATTTTTTTGTCTAAAGATGAGTGTTTTGAAATCAACATTCAGCTGTCATTGGGAGCTGGACTTGATTAAGACACATGATCAAGCTAAATAGACTTTGGTTAGAAATGGGTCCATTCTTGGTCTTACTGTTGGACTCTCACTGAAGGCTAGTGGGCTCTGACTGTAGGATAATTTGTGTCCACCAGCAAAAATAGTAGATATGGCTATGAAACAGTGAGACTATATTTAATGTGGGTCAGAAACTGATCTTGAAGGCATTCTAAAAAGAGTTTCAGTGACGTTTTGAGCACTAGTAGCTCTGGAATAAGAATGCAGCCATCTCAGGTGACTGCTTTGAAGGGACTGCCACACTAATTTGGTGGTAAAGTTCTGCCTCTGTCCTTTGAATGGCATCTTATAATGTAGTAACACAGATTCTCTTATGAGGACTATCTGAGAAAATGCAAGGCTAGTTCAAACCAAACAGCATTCAGAAGCTCCGGTGTTGGAAATGCTACCTAGAGTCAGAAGAGATTCCAGAACTCTCTGGTCTAACCTCCCATTAGAATGCCTTCCTGAAAGCCTTCCTGTGGAGAGTACTGTTTATCTGCTGATGGCTTTCCTCACTGGAGAGGGTTTTTGCTTTTGCCTTTGCTCTTTATTTTTATTTTTTAACTAAAATGATTTCCCTGTAACTTTCTCTCCTTTAGTTTTAGTTCTGCCCTTTAGAACAACATACGACTATTCTACTCCCTCTTCAACCTAGCAATCCTTCAGACATTTGAAGACGGCCATCATGTCTCCCCTAATTTTCTCTTCTCCAGGTAGAACATCCCCATTTCTTTCAGCCTTTTCTTAAATTAGATGGTTTAGTGACCTCATCAGTCCTGGTTGTCCTCGTCTGAAAGCCCTTTAGGTTTTCAGAGTTCCTCTTAAAAGAGGTGCTGCTGAGAATGGGGAGCAGTGCTCCAGGTGTGATGGGACTAGTCTCGAACAGCGGGGTCATGTCCCACAGTCAGGACAGCACCTGTCTGCTGCATGAAGTGACGTTGTTAGCAGCCCCATCCCACTGTGGATGCATATGAATCTCGGGGTTCACTGAAATCAGATATTTTTTTCATACGAGGTACTATTAAGGCAGCATCCCCTCCTCTCTAATTGTGTACCTGACATTTTTAGTTGAGTCTTTGAATCTAAACACAGATACATATGTATCTCTATTAAGTGTCATATTCTTCTTTTTGATCCATTTGTTCTAGCTCAGTCATTTCAAACATTATTTCTGTCATCTGTCCCATTATCTATCTCTCTTGGCATTGTGTTATTTGCAAACTTGATAGATATGTCTTCTTTATCGTTCAAGTTATTGATAAAAAATAATGTTGAATACCAAGAGATTGGAGAGAGAGAGGGAGCCAAAGCCAGCAAGCCCTGAAGTATTCCCTTGGAGAACTCTTTTCCCAGTGACACAGGTTTAAAATTCTTGGGAAAAGATTATTCTGTAAATTAAAAATATTTTATTATCCAGTCCATATTTTACCTTAGGATCTTATAAGAATTTCATGGAGGGCTTTTTTGAAATCAAGATGCAATTTCCTTTTCTTTTTTTTTCCCAATATGTAATTTCTAACACATTCTTCTGATCTATCAATCTATCAATGTAGTAAATAGGAAGTGATATCTATTTGGTGTCTTATTCTCAGTGAACCCACCTTGGCTCCTAATAATTGCTAATCAAAACCATCTGTTTCACTTATTCTATGAGATCTTGAGTGTCCGTAACTTGCAGATTGATTGATTGTCTGCATCTTTAGGGACAATTTTATTCTTAGGTCAGTTTAGTCAGCTTCCAAATGGAAAAGGTTGGGTGTGTATTAATTGATGAGCTTGCTCATGGTAAAGTACTCTGTACAAAGATCTTTGAAGGGAAATCAAGTACATCTTGTCATATCTATTTATAAACTAGAACTAATTTAATGGTAGTGTCAGCATACATGCCCGACATCTAGTAATCAAGAATGGAATGAATGAAAAAGATAAGGAGGGAACCCAGTGTACCTTTTGGAGAACTCCTTCCTGATTCCTTGCAGTGTTTCAGAATTTTGTAGAAGTACAGTGGGAATTTAGGACTTCTGTACTGAAGTTTCCCCTAGTTTACAAAAGGATGTAGATAAGGTAGATGGGGGTGGAACCCCAGAACTTGAATACCTACAGGATCGGGACAGGTAATGTCAGTGCACGAAGGTGGTCAGATATGAGAAGTAAGAGACGTAGGGACTGTGATAGGCCCTGTCTAAAAGAGGCAGCCACAACTCAGCTCTGGCCTTTTGTTGTCCGGGCTGGCTGGTGCCAGGTCTTCTGATTCTGTGAGACATGAGATATCAGGATTTTTATGTGAAATTTCCTGCTATTCGAATAATGGCAAGTAAATTTAAGTCTTTAAAAGCACTGATCAGAACAAAACATGCTTACAGGCCAGCAGCTTGCAACCTCAGTGTTAAGATACAGCCTAGAGTTGTGCAATTGCAGGACAAAAAAAAAGAAAAACATACACCTAAGGAATGAAAATATCTCCTTCCCCTTCCCACCAACCAAGTTCTACTCCCTTTCTCATGAAAGAATCTGAAAAAAAATTATGGAGTGCTGGGTTTGCCTCCTTTCTTTCCTCTCTCTCTCGGGTTGTGGCAGCCTTTGGGTGTTGGTCGCTGTTGGTTCGCCATGCTAGATGTATCTTAACGTTATAAAGCAGAAAAAGGATTGATTAATTTGCTAAAGGTCATTTAGGAATTTTTCACTGTAATTCAGTAGGGAGGAGTCTCACTCAACAATAAACCTTAGGTCTCTGCTTTTAGAAAGCTGCCACGTCTTGTGTTTGAGTTAGATGTGTAAAAGAGTAGTTTCAAAATTTCTGTGGAAGCAAAGAGTTTCAGCGAATGTCTGCAAAGAAATTGACAGGTATTGGTGCATACATGTTGGTCTCAAACTTAATACCTTGTTTCAGTATGCTTGTAAACATGTTGGTTGAAATAAATCACTTGCAGAGATAGTACATGTTTGAGGCCACATTAACCCTTTATCCCCCTCTGCCCCTGTGATTTATTCCCTCAGACTTAAGTGCTTTAGATAGGACCCTGCTGTGAGCTGGGGCAGAATATGAAGAAGATAGGGACCTGCCTTTAAGTGCCTCTCTAAATACTATGTTATTAAAAATTTTTCCTTGAACTTTGGTTATATTTTCAGGAAACTTAGTCCCTCAGGCCACAGAAGTAAGGCTATCACCTGACCACGACAGAATTTAAGCTAATAATTTACATTTAGGCAGTTCCCACAGATTCATTTCTGAAATAATTCATTTTTTTCCCTAGCTATCTATTTTTGACCAGTAAACATTGTCCCCCTTTTTTTTTAGCTTATTTACTGTCGCTACATATTTTAAGTAGAGTAGTAATAAAATTTGTTTTCTTTTTAATGTAATTGAATATATATTTATTTCAAGATGTCAAAAGTGTTAAACTGTGTATCTGACATGTAACTTTGTTCTTTAATAATTACAATCTCACCCTAGTGGTCTGGACAGGTTTATGTTTTTCTTTAGGTCAGTTTATGAGTAAGGGGACTTATTTGAATTTAAATACATTTGGAAGATGATTAACGGGGTCACATGATTTTAATCTTTGGCATTGCTTTCATTTCAAATAGTGTAAATCATGGTACTGGGAAAATACACCTTCTGGTTATATTTTTATTTTAATTACCTTTTTAATCTGAAAGTGTTATAATCCTACATGATTATGTAGGAGTGAGCTGGATTGTTGGTTTGAACTACCCAGGATTCTGGTTACCAAGTACTTATTATTCTGACTTCAGAAGACTCCTACTTTGCATGACTTTGTTACTCTTCTGCAGTGTGCTGTGGACGTTAACTTGTCCTTTACTTTAGGTGTTCATTTTAATTTGTATGTCTGTGTCATTTAGTCACTTTTTTAACTTCTCTCACCCCCTTTCCCAGCTAATTTCTGTATATAACCCTCCCACTTCTCCTAACCTATAATTTAATCAAAATGTTTATTTTATAATTTATTTTGGTGTGATTTTCTTTGATATGTATTTTGGTTTTAGGATTTCTTTCATCCCATTTTATTATTTGCATCAACCATATAAATTATTTGTTCATGTTACTTGTTTAGTAGCAGCATTTTACTTTAGTAACTAAGTGCATAGATCACAGTGAGTGCTTACAGCAACCCAAAGGTATGATGGATGGTCATTGTGGCCATTGAATTCTTTGCCCTATTTTTTTAATGCGTTTTTGAAATTGGGTATATGTGGCATTTATTTTAAGCCATTTATTAATGATATTTGCCCATATTGCTTTAATAATCACCTAAGTTGCTCCTTCATGTACTTTAAAACCATTTTACTTAATAGGAGCCCCTTTTTGGAAGAAAGGATTTTATTATTGTCACACTGAAAGGAACTGCCTTTTCATAGGATTGCATTATGAAGAGGATAGATACCTAGAAATCTTAACGTCCTAGAGAGTCTTCTGGGAACGTAAGAGTTCTTAGGATACTATGTAATAGTGAACTATTATATCCAACAAAGTCTGTCCTGTGTTTTGGTTTCGTATGAAACTTCTATGTTCCCTTGTATCAAGGTCCTTACAAGACATTTCTTTTAATTAGGATACAGAGTGTTATGTTTAAAATTATACAAGAGCTTATGTTACAGATTCTCATTAAGTAAGCTGCTGATTGCTTATGCATTTTAAAATTTTTTGCCATTTGGTTAGAATATTAAAGGATGCCACAAGGTAGAGTTTGTTCTGATCTTGAGTATCAGTAGATAACATTAGAGGTATTATGTGTTTCCCGTGTATCTATGGTCATCTGTAAATTTTGGTTCTTCTAATGCTTGGTGAAGCATTTCTTGACACTGATGCACATTTATGTCCTTTTCCAAAGTATGTTACTATTTAGGCATGCTCAGTTAACAGCTTCCTTATGATTTGTGTTGCAGTTCATCTGCTAGTTCCAGAACTAGCTCTAGTTCACTAAAAGAATTGTCATTAAAATCATTATTAAGAGTAACGGCATTATTATCAAAAACGAAGGTAAAAGACACTTCACCAGGCAAAAACAAAACGCCAAGAAAACACTGAGAGGAATAAAAGCAGGGAGGCCCAGAGGACTTTAAAAAACAAGCGAAATATTAAAAAACAGAACATTTAACTCTAGTTTTGGTGATCTCGGTACAGTTTTTAACTTGAGCTACGGAAGTGCAACTAGGAAAAAGCTGTGTGTGCTATCTGTGAGCCGTAGTGACTAGGTTCCGTGCATTACAGTTACAGAGGCGGTTGCAAAGTATTAAATTAAAAATTCCTACTTGAAATCCTTATGTGGGTAGAATTAGAAAATTAGAAGAACATTCATATTTCTGCATCAGTACATCTCTGCTTTGGGTTTGGAAAGGATCGGGTGGTGAGATGAGAAGAATGCAATCTAGGAAATTCGCATTTATTTCTGCAAAGTTGCACAGACGGCTGGTAAAAGCGCCTGGGTGGGACTGCTCTTCGCTGCCTTGAGTTCGCTCCGTTGAACTTTTCTTTGCTCCTCATAAGAGCCTGCAACTGACATCTGGACCTTTCTGGATCCCCCCCCCACCTTCCTTAAATTCTAATCTTTGCAGTCTCTTAGGTCTCTGCAATATAGTGTTTATACCCCAGATATATAAAGACCTGGGACATGTTACAAGAAACAGTATTAAAAATACCCTATTTGGGAATAGCTAAAATGGGTTAATTCCATTGAGCCCTTTAGAATTTGATTATTTTGTTTCTAAATAGTGCAACTGATAACCATTCCTTTTATTATTGGTCAAATACACTGAACCAATAAAAATTTTAACTCATGTTCTTATATATGTTGTAAATTGCAGAGTGAATCAAAAGTATCTTGTCTGCCTGTTTTATGGCATTCTGTGCAGAGGTCCGTAGGAATTGTGGTTACTCTTCTATATGCCTTGTGTGACTGTTCACACAGACACTTCTTAATTTAAGCCTTTATTGCCTGAAGTTTGAAACCTTTCCTTCTCTCCGCCTTATTAAAAGTAGCAGTATAGGGTGCCTGAGTGGCTCAGTTGGTTGAGCGACTGCCTTTGGCTCAGGTCATGATCCTGGACTTCTAGGATCGAGTCCCGCGTCGGGCTCCCAGCTCCTTGGGGAGTCTGCTTCTCCCTCTGACCTTCTCCTCTCTCATGCTCTCTCTCACTCATTCTCCCTCAAATAAATAAATAAAATCTTTAAAAAAAAAAAAAAAGTAGCAGTGTAGGGGTGCATGCCTGGCTCAGTCAGTAGAGCATGCAACTTTTGATCACCAGTTGTGAGTTCAAGCCCCACATTAGGCATGGGGCTTGTGAGTTCAAGCCCCACATTTGGCCTACTTTAAAGAAAAAAATAAAAAGCGCTTGACATCTGATTGGCATATGGGCCCTCAGGACTTCTAAGCAGAAAGCCAGCATCCAATATGAAGAATTTTCCACCTAAGAACTTAGAAGCTCTGACAAGCTTCAGATGATTAAGGTTTTTATTCCAGCATTTTGTCATTATTTCTTATGTTCTAATAAGAAATAAACATTATTTCTTATGTTCTTATGTTCTAATACTGCTGAACTAAATTATTGTACATAGAGAAGGAAGATGTGATTCTGGTATATCAATCGATTTTTTATTTTTTATTTTATTTTATTTTTTTAAGGTTTTATTTGTCAGAGAGAGAGAGAGAGAGAGAGAGAGAAGGGGCACAAGCAGGGGAGGAGGAAGGCAGAGGGAGAAGCAGGTTCCCTGCTGAGCAGGAAGCCTGATTCAGGACTTGATCCCAGGACCCTGGGGTCATGACCTGTGCAGAAGGCGGACGCTTAACCAACTGAGCCACCCAGGAGTCCCTCAGTAAGATTTTATAAAGAGAATCTTTATATATACACATGCACACACATTTTTGACCTTGTAATACTCATTTTTGGGAAGTCTCTTAAGGAAACTCTACTAAATACAGAGAAAAATCTTATGTAGAAGGATATTCATCCTTTAGTTATAGTCACCAGTAAATAGAGACCACCACCCATAGGGGAAGCAGATACAGTAAAGCTGTTAAAATGAGGTTTCTGTAATTTATGAAAAAGTCCTTACATAATAGTAAATTTTTAAAAAGATATAAAATTTTATAATTTATACACATTGTGTTTGCAGCTGTGTAAGAAACACATAGAAAAAGTAAAAGGAAATGCCCTACATTTTAATTAGTTGCCTTAGGTGATGGGACTCTAGGTGATTTTTTTTTCTTCCTACTTTTATTTTCCTCATATCTTATAATGAGCATCTATTACCTTTTTGACAGTAAGAAAATAATAATAATAAACTAAAGAGAAAAAAAGCATGCCATAAGATAATTTATTCTAAAATGATATTTTATGTGAGTCATTTTGAAAGAATTATACTTCTGAATTGTGAAATAATTATTTTTGCTTGAGTTTAGAAATGAACTAGGAGGCAGCTTCGTGAAACTATTGCTCTGCTTTCAGCTTGAGACCTGAAGTGGCAAACATGGCTCAGGTCTCATACTTAGGGAGTGCAGTTAAGATCGTCTCACTGTTCTCCCTCCAGGTTCTGTCAGTCAGCTAGGCAGTGACGAGTGTGCCATCCATTATCAATGCTTTGTCATATATAGAGAGCCTGGTTAGTGCATCTCTTAAATGTACATGCTAACTGCATAAAATAGGTCTCTAAGTAGGTTTCCATGTCTACAGGTATCTTAAGTAACCACTATAAGGTTGATGGAGTCATTGGAATATATCTTACGAATTAATAGTTGCCTTAAGTTTAAAACTGGTTATATCTTGACCGTGTATCTTTATTGTTTCTTATATATAAACATGAACTGCTATTCTGTCTACAGAAGGCTATACTATAGCTTGGGGAAAACAGTAATTACTATCTTGAAATGCAAAAATAAACGAAGCAATAAAGTCAATATATTAGTTCACGAATGGTAGTACTTGCTTAAAATACAACAAAGGGAGTTATGTGAAACCGATTCCATACTTGAAAACTATTTATGAGAAATCATTTTGACTGATTTTACCGTGATGACAGCTAGCTGTAATCCTAGCCCTTTTCTTTCCCAAATTAAAAAAAAAAAAAAAAAAGTAAAAGAAATCTCAAAAATCCTTCATCAGTGAAGATGCATCAAAATCAGAGAGAGACCAAAGCTGAAGCAAAAGCTCTCCTGCCTTTTTAGCCTGTTTCTCACTTTAAATTCTACACGTCTCTATTGATTGGGAGTTACAGACTTAAAAACTGTCATCATTGGTCTCTGGTAGTCCCTGAGTTTGGACTCCATTTTTTGCAGACTCATGTTTGCAGTTGTTGGTGTTCTGCAGTTAGAAGCATCGGTCAATTTCCTGACTCACAGTCGTTAACCTCATTTTGATGAATACTTACGGTCACCACCTCCCATCAGGCCCTGCTGAGGAACTGGTTTCCAGGGCTTCTCTTGGTGTTTCAGATCTAGAAGAACGAGCCTTGAAGGGATATATAATGTACATAACAGCCTTAGGTTTTCTTTCCTGATATGTGAGTGTTTCTGAAAAGTACCCATAGATACTTTTTTTTTTTAAGTTTGGCAATTTGTTACAGAATACATTTATTTTAAATATAGAAAGCATGAGATGCATCATATTAGGGTGGCAACTCAATTTCTGTGTGGGATGTTTAATTGAGAGATGTTATTTTCAGTCCCCTTCTCTTGTGAGCTCTGCTGTGAACTGCAAACTGTGTGCATGTGTATAAAAGGTTAAGAGCCCGGGTAGCTGAGTGGGGTGCCATGCTGTTAGCAGACGACGAAGGCAGTATTACTCACCAGGTGCACGCTGTCCTCTCTGTAGAAGATTCCATCTTCATGGCGTCATCTCATGGTCCACTTTTTCTTGAAGCCAGGTAACATTTCCCACAACCAGTGGGTTGGCCTTTTTGGAGTTTTTCCAGCTGGAAAATTGAAACCTACGAATTTTCTTCCCTAACTGGAAATAAATAAATAAATAAATAAATAAATAAATAAATAAATAAAACATTGCCTGTTGGAGGAACTAACTCACAAGGTGGAATGAACCCATGTTATCACTTTGCTTTGTAAAATAATATGTCAGGAGTGATTTTTTTCTTTCTTTCTTTCCTTTTTGCTTTCTTTCTCCTCCTTCTTCTTCTTCTTCTTTTTTTTTTTTTTAAGGAGCTGGGGAGAATAAGAAATTGGAGTGCTGTGTGTTGTTTTGCCATGGTGATAAGCATGGAGCACTCTGGCTTGTATTATAGACTTGTTTCTAGAATGGGCAGATTGCATTTTGTGATAACTGATCCGATTGGCACTCTGACGATTACTGAGGCAAAGTCGTTTTGTACAATTGATATTCTTGGCTCTTAACTCTTTTGCATATGTCGGTGTCCTGGTCTTTTAACGATGTCTGACTTTTGCTTCAAAGCTGCTTGCTTCCCACTTGTGAAATAACCTGAACTAGACAGTCTCTCTAAGCTCTTAATTCTGTAAGTTTTCTACATCTCCTCAGTTGTGCTCATTTAACTAAAACTCCAGTGACCCTTGAATAAAATATGCCCGCTTTTGCTTTCAAGCGTTATCCTCTTTATGGTAAGCTGTCATACTTGAGAACCTTGAAGGTGCTTAGCAGTGTCATTAACTGAGCATGCTCACAAACCCAGTTTGTGGTACAGGCTGTCCCTGTTCTTGTCATGCATAATACGGCTTCTTTTATGTCATTTACCTTTCAGTCCATCACGTTACATGATGTCCTTTAGTTGGTACCATTGTCACTGCCTGTCTGACTAATATCAGGGTTGGTTTTTTTTGTTTTATTTATTTTTTTGTTGTTTTGTTTTATTCTGAATTTTCTTTATTTAACTAGCAGTAACCCAATTAATGCGAACTGGTAAATCTTCCCTATCCCTTTTGGGATTTTTTGGGTAAATTTTTTCTGGGGCTCAGTGTTTTTAAAGTTGACTTTAAGCATTGCTCTTAGAAAAGTATGGTCACTTGTCGCTTAACTGCTTACATGATAGCTTTGATTCCTGGCAGGAGATTGCATACTAAGTTCCATGAAATGGACTCTCAAAATTGTGAGATCTTGGTTTTACCTCTCATTTTGAAGGACCGTGGTGGGATTAAAAAGTAGTAGGTTGATTTGTCTACGTTCTCCATTTCCCATGTGAAGAAAATGTCTAAAATTTTAGATGTTGATTACTCCCACGTAGTAGCTAATTGTAAAGACATTCGTATTTATTAATGTCTACGTTATGTCTAAAGATAATGATTATCTAAGCAATGTACGTGTGGCTCTATTGATAAATGTTTTTGGTAAGCATTACTGTATGCAATTAGCCTGACAAGTGTGCTAATACTTCCCTAAAAGTAGACTGTTAATGTAATTGGTATTTTCATCCTAATCATGTTTTGAACATTAATTATATTTTCTGACTACAGGCACGTGACACAAGCTGACCTCAAGAGCTCCACGTTTTGGCTTCGAGCAAGTTTTGGTGCTACTGTTTTTGCAGTTTTGGGTTTTGCTATGTACAAAGCATTGTTGAAACAGCGATGATTTAAAAAAAAAAATGCCCTACCAAAAACAAATACTTTTATGTATTTATGTATGCTTTAAATTCTGCTAGAAATATTGAGATATTTATACATGCAGAGTTACTTTATTAATATTTGTAATTCATGCATAAGAGTATTTTAATGATAGTTATAACTGCAGTATTGGCTAGCATATGGAAAGAAAGAGCTTAACAGCCAAACTCAAATGGCTAAATTTCAGAGGCCAAAAGGGAATATTTTGTAAATAATGTACATATTCAGGCAAGATACGGTCTCCCAACCTGAATTCTAGAAATGATGTTTCTAGATGTTTCTACGTGGTATTGTTAGTGTTCGGTTGGCTCACTCTCCTAGGTCTAAGTCAGCTCTGAGATTGTATTTACTCATGGATCACTTATTTATTTCACATTTTACTCAGAATGATCCTTTGGGTTCTTTAAAGAACACGAGGCACAATTTGCCATTTTCTCTCCATTTTTAAGAACGGAGGAGTCCTGGTCAGCTCACACCTCTCTTTCAGTCACTTGTGGTAGGCCAGCCTCGAAGCCGTCGTGCAGTCTAGAAAGTTGCCTAGCTGAGTGAAGTGCTTCTTGAAGGAAGGAGGGAGTTAAAGGCAGTTAGTGGGGGCGTGACCTATATGATTATGTTGCTTCCTTTGTCTGTATGTAGAATTTTATAGCCCTTTCAATCAAATGAGAAAAAAGATTTGTATATTATCAATGTTTTTAGTTTAAATAAACAGTCGCCATTACTACTACTGAATTTCCTCCCCCAGTGTATGTCATTCTCTAACGGCCGTGTCTATGATAGTGTCCTACAGTGGCTGCATGTGTCGTAAAGTGTTCTCTATCTGGCTAGGATAACCCGGAGGCAGCACTTTTTTAAATGATAAAATAAATCCAACGAACATAAACTCTCATGATAAACCTATTTTTTTCCATCATCAACCTTTTCGAGTATTTAAATAAATAACTGCTGTGTACCGTGACCTTGAGTTTTCTTGTCTTACGAAGTCAATATTCCTGTACAGGTGTGAATGAAATCCTCTGGTTTCTATCTTTCTTACCTTGAAAATTATTTTTTGTTAAAGCAGATAATACTCATTAGGTAAAAAGACCAGTATGATTTGTATGTAGAAGAGGAAGTCTCTTTGAAAGCTGTGGGCAGATCTATTCTTCGAGGAGGCCAGTTGTGATCTCCCGCATACACCTAGCTCACGTGGTTCCGGCTGTGACATACGTGTTTATCCGCGCCTCTAACATGGATTTTTTTCTTCTTTTTTGCTGTTCTGATGGACGTCCAAAGATCACACTCCCTGAACAGCTGGAAACAGCGTAACTTACGAGCTCTACACTTGTAAAATGACCTGGGCCGTATTTAGCTGCGTACTTCCTTGTCCCCCCACTTCCCATTTCTATTCTAAAATTGAGGAAAGGGAAAGTTAAGCAGAAATCTGATGACGACTCCTTTTCCTCTTCTTGGAGCCTCCTGTTTACACACGTCAGTTACACAGCCTCCCGTGAGTCAGTTCTTTCCTTCCAAGTTCTTTTCGGACTCAAATGGATACACTTCATAGATTGATAAGTTTGTGAGAAACTGAGGAAGGTAGTTTGCCAAGATGTGAAAAGTGATGTTTATATATGTAGACTTTTCTCTCTCAGTCTTTTCATTCAAAGCTCAAGTGTCCAACTGACAAGAAGACCAGCAGCACCCCTCCCCCGCCCCCGTCTCACCTGCTCTTGACCCGTCCCCCCTACTAAGCCCAGCAACCTTCTAGTCCCATCAGCGAGTGCAGGGGGTGGGCTTGCAGGGAGAATGCTCCCTGGTTTCTCCTCTGTAACCTACAGGGTCACGTACATATTTTCTTCATTTCACATTCATTTTAGAGACCAGTTAATTTGAGGAAATACGTGAATAAATAAAGCAATAGGCTGCTTCTGGCTTTTATGGTTTACTCTCAGAAGATGCAAGCTGTAAGGGCACCAAGGGAAAATGAGGAAAAGTAGGAACTTGAGGATTGGAAAGAAAATTTTGCACTTTTGCACCAGTGGCATCCTGTCTTTAATGGATGGTTCTGAGGCTGCTTGCTACAAAAATTTCCACCCCCCCAAGATTTATTTATTTATTTATTTATTTATTTATTTACTTGGGGGGGGTGGGGGCAGACTCCCTGCTGAGCATGGAGCCCAATGCAAGGTTCAAACTCTCGGAGGCCTTAGCCGAAATCAGGAGTCGGATGCTTAACCAACTGAGCCACCCAGGCGTCCCTGCTTGCTGCAGTATTTTCTTTTTTTAAAGATTTTATTTATTTATTTGACAGAGATCACAAGTAGGCAGAGAGGCAGACAGAGAGAGGGGGAAGCAGGCTCCCTGCTGAGCAGAGAGCCTGATGCGGGGCTCAATCCCAGGACCCTGAGATCATGACCTGAGCCAAAGGCAGAGGCTTAACCCACTGAGCCGCCCAGGGGCCCTTGCTGCAGTATTTTAATGAATAGTGAGGCAGTCATGTGAAGAAACATCACTTCAAATGTTTGTGGTCCTATGGCATAATGTAGTAACTTAGCCTTACTTAGCACATCAGGGGGCTCTTGCTTCTTGCCATTCATATGTCTTTTTTACATTTGACCCCAAAATGAGTAATGTCCCACATTGCCGGAGCTAATAAACTACAGTAGAGTGGACAGTGGGTGTCAGAAGCTGAGGGGCACATAATCCTCCTGAAATGGCCTGTGAAAGAAGAGGTAGGAGGGCTGTGGGTATCTGTGCATATCTGTACATTACCCATCAGGGGGAAAGCGCCAAGGAGGAGACATACTGATGAGCCAGTCCTGAATGAAATGAGAATTTTTCTGACCGGAGGGAAGGCAACAGAATGATGACTAGGGAGAACAGAGGTAAGTGCTCAAACTGCATAGAGTATAAATCTTTCCTGAGTAGGCCCTGAGAATTCAACTGCTGTTAGTTTTGGTGCCCCTCTTGTCCGAGTTGTACTAGTAAAAAAATCAACATAAAAGTGTCTTTAAAATATATGTGTACAAATCTTAAAAATGAGTATGTGACCGAGTTGTCCTGAACACATATATTTGGCATCATCCTTTCAATTTTAATAGTCTTTGTGTTTTAGGAAGCTGATTTGGGACTAGGTCCTTTCTGGGAAGTCGGACGTCAAGATGCTAAATTTATTTAATGTTTATGGGTTGACGGTGCTCCACTCATGTAGCCTGACTGTCCCAAAAACCTCAGTCTCCAGATTTCACAGCCCCACTTGTTAAAACCTCTAAACTTGTAATTCTTGTCTTTTTAACTGTTTATCAAAAGTCCATCTGTGAGAATGAATGTCTGTGAACCCATTTGAGCCTCAGCTTTGTTTTCACTTCCATCTCTGACCTGTGAGGATCACGGGTACGAATCTGACATTTCTTTAGTGCATCCCAAATTTAAAAACTCCAGTGGCACACACAAACTATTCAGAACCCTTTTCCCTGTTATTTTTGGCTCAGAAAGTATAGACGCTTTTACCAGAAAGCAAGATTTTGACATCATTAGGAAGCACTTCCTAACTTCCTAAAGTCTTTCCAGTTTCTGGATGTATTTTCCAGTGACAGTGTTTTGCTCTGTAGATTTTATCTTCTCCTTCAGCGTAGACCATTGCAGAAGTCAGACAGGGAAATTGAGAGCTTGCCATTCGTTCTGGGTTTGAAAGCTGATGTCGGGTGTATACTCACAAGGAGGCATTGCCAGTATTATCTTTATACATACACACTGGAAAAATCAAATTCCACATGATCACTTTTTCCTCTTTCAGGATTTTCCTATTTGTGGTCTATATTTTAAGTCTTTTATAATCAGACAACCCTTGGAAGTTTTTATTAGAATGATGTGGGTATGTATGGGGTAGAATAACTTATGGATCACAAACTTTTTCTGTAAAGGGCCAGATAGTAAATGTTTGAAATTTTTGCTGCTCCTCCACTCTGTCATAGCAGGAAAGCAACCACAGACAAAAAAATGGGCATGACTGATATTATTTATAATATGAGTATAAATAATAAATATTCATTTTATATTTATATATTTATATATTTACTTTATATTTTATATTTCTCTATTTCTATAATAAATAATAAATATAAGTATTTATTATTTATTTTAAAATATTTTATTTATTTATTTTGGAGAGAGAGCATGAGCAGGGTTGGGGCAGAGAGAGATGGAGCAGCAGACTACCCGCTGAGCAGAGAGCCCGATATGGGGCTCAGTCCCAGGACCCTGGAATCATGACCTGAGCTGAAGGCAGGCACCTAACCAATAGCCACTGAGGTGCCCTGCATGGCTGCATCCTTTAAAAAAAAAAATTATTTTAGAGAGTGAGCACACCTGTGAGCATAGCAGGCGGGGGGGGGGGTGCAGAGGGAGAGGGGAGAATCTCAAGCAGACCCTCTGATGAGCAAGGAGCCAGATGCAGGGCTTGATCTCATGACCCTGAGATGGTGACCTGAGTTGAAACCAAGAGTCAGACACTTAAGGAACTAGGCCACCCCAGCGCCCCACCGTGACTACATTCTAATAAAACTTTGTTTATAGGCATGGAAATTTGAATTCATATATTTTCATTTGTCACAAAATATTTTTTAAAATATTTTAACCACTTAAAAACAGAGAACCTACCTTAGTCCAAGGGCTGTATAAAAACAGGCCATGGGCCCGATCTGACCGACGCCTGGTATAACTGATGAAAGTATAGTAATAAATGCATAGCAGGTTTTACTAGTAATTAAAAAACAATTTACCTGATTGTTTTGGAATTTGAAAAGGTACAATACTGTATTGTATTCATGTTTTATTTGTAGGGAAACTAAGATTGGATCTGTAGGAGGTGTTTCCTTTGTTTCACTTTTGCCAATGGTGGTGTTCACCAGAACATAACGCTATGGCAGGGCTGGGGCTCATCTTGGAGGGCAGCGTGGCCTATGCAGGTAAAGAGGACATCAATTTCACTTCCTTTGAGCACTCAACCTGGAGCTGTTCTTTTGGTACTTAATCCATGTTTGTTTTCCATTTGTGAAATTGTGTAATTAATTGCACACCTGGAAGGTAAAAGAATCCTACAAGAGGGGTGCCTGGGTGGCTCAGTGGCTTAAGTGTCTGCCTTCAGCTCCAGTCATGATCCCAGGGTCCTGGGATCACCTGTGTCAGGCTTACTGCTCAGCGGGGAGTTTGCTTCTCCCTCTCCCTCTGTCCCCCCACCCTGTTTGTTCACACCCTCTCTCTCTTTCTCTCAATAAATAAAATCTTTAGGAGGAAAAAAACAAGCATTCTGCAAGAGTGGTTAGTTTGACCTCTAGTTAGCCAGGTGATCAGCCCCCTGTGTGCATGACAGTGTGATAATGCTTCTTATTTCTTTGGATATTAAAGTCAAAATATCAGAACTAAAATAGACCGAGGTGTCATCTAACACCATGCTTTTATAGAATAAACAGCATGAAGAGTAGAAGTGACTTATACAGAGCCACACCGTTAGTCTGTGCCTGAGCTAGGATTGGAACCCAGGTCCTGACTCCCAGTTCAGTGTCCTCCCACTGCAGGAGCCAGCCCTTGACAATTTGACTTGTTTTTTTTTTCCCCCTTTGGGAAGTTTGCAATATGTTCAGTTTTAAAAGCCAGGCCTAAGAAGAAAAAACCAACAGCGTTTTGACATTTCCATTGCCAAGAAGGGTTAAAGTGGGCAAAGCAAATTTTCTGGAAGACTTCCAGCTCCTCTGAGGCATACTGCCTTCACTTCTGGGAGCTGTCACCAGGTGTCTCTTTAGAGCAGTGCAGGTTTGGCGGTGAGCTTTCTTTCAGGGGTAGACTACTGAGGGAAGTAGGGCTGTAACCACTTTTTTAAAGACACCGTTTATGGTTTTTGCTTACTTGTCCTTAAATTGTTAATTTTGAAAAAAAAAATGCTTTCTCTTTTTATTTATAAGTAGCAAAGTACCTTGGAAC